CTTGATTCTGAAGTGAACTAAAACCTCCAGACCTAAAGTGAGAGCATGTGTGAATTCTAAGGAGTCCTACAAAGTGCTTAAAACAATTTTAAGAGAATAAATTATTAATGGCTATTATAAAAATTGCATTCAAGTCAGTTTAACTATTTTCCAAACTGTTCTACACGAGTTTGCAATGTTCCTTCCACAAAAAACGATTTTTAGGTTAAGTCAGAGTGCTTCGGACCTTTCCTCTCTGCTTTCTTTTTATTTACCCTATTCTTTATGAGTGCCTTTTGGTTTTGTACTGATTTAGTGTCGCTTTGCTATAAATCATCAAGTACAAGCCGCTTTGCTATAAATCATCAAGTACAACAATATATTCATTCTTTTTGGATTTTCCTTTGTTAAAATATTACTTATTTATTTCAAATATTCTACTTCTGGATCTCTCCAAAATATCTTGTAGAAACGATGATAAACATGCACTCACGGAACGTCTCTACATTGGGATTGGAGCTCTTCCTATCGTCTACACACCAATCTTTTCTGCTAAATCTGTTCACGCACACACAGAGAGATGATTACAATGCCCTCCTGTCGAAGATGTTCTCAGCATAGAGAACCTAAAAGAATATACAATAATATCAGGTCTAACTTGGGATGTAAATGCAGTTATTCAGGTCAAAACATATTCCTAAAAACTTCAACAGTAATTGGGAAATCTTTGAGACACACATAAATGCAAACGTCAACATAAGCCAATATTTGAAACAACAACAAAAAGGCTTAAGGTTCACCGTTTCTTCAAAATCTGATTTTCATAAATATGACCACACTAGAGGAATGGTGTCACTATTAGCCATGGCCAGCAACTATACATTTCAGATTCATGCTGCTTTAATCTGGAACAGTCTTCCTGAAAATGTGAGACGAGCTTCTTATCTGACAGTGTTCAAATCCAGGTTAAAAACAGTTTTGTTTAGCTGTGCATACAATTGAGGGATTTTATCTTAACTCTTTTTAATATACTGTGATTATTTATGCCTTGTGCGACTGTCTCAGCCTTGTTTTGTTCAGCACTTTGAGCTGCCTTGTGTATGAATTATTGTATTGCCTTTCTTTTTCTCAAATCCACAACTTTCCCTCAGATATCGATTTTGCCCTCCATTCATCAAGGTCCTTCACTGTCCCGTCTGTATTGGGCACATTATGCTGTTTATGAAATTAAATCCTTGAGTATAGCAGGATGTGGGCGCCTCTTTGGGATTGTTTATTTGCATATATTTAAAGCGCTCCAAACGCCAAGTCGTTAAAGCAGTGCACAATGTAACCATGCAGCTGGCACGTGCTGCACAGGAGGGAGAGGAGAGGGCCTTTTAATTAAGGGATTTGTTAATTTTCTATTCAACCTGACTTTGATGAATGGGACCGAGGAGACTGGAGGACTAGGTCTTCAGGCGGTGGCTATATTTGCACATTGAGGTTTAACCCATTAAGTGTTTACAAAAGCTCAGGCTCGAGAAGGGTGCCCACTTTGTAACAATGCTTTTAGCTGAAGGGGCCTGGTCCTTTTTTAATAAAACCAACCAAAATGTATTGTGAACCTAAATTGACTTTTAAACAACCCGTTTCAGCTCACTAAGATAAGATAACGTTATTTGTCCCTCAGTTGGGAAATGTCAGTAAATAAATGATATTTTTGCGTTTACATCTGTGCCATAATATAATATAATATATAATAATAATAAAAACAGCAATAACAAAATGTATTTATAAATGTGGCACAATGGGATGGATGTACTATAACAATTAAATCAAGTAAGGAGTTCCAGCAATTGTTTTATCAAATGTGTTGACTGGAAAGTCTTTGCAAATTCAAATTGATTAAGAAAAAATGTCAAATTACCAAATGAACCTGAATCTGAACCTTCAGTAATGAGGCAGCCATCTTGAATGAGAAATAAGGGACCAGATTAGACCAAAAGAAAGGGTTATATTTAATAAAGATATTTTTATGGAAAAAAGCAGATTATATGAAATACTGATTTGATTAATGGATTGATATTTTTTATCGATAGCCTAAGACTGCACTCAAGTAATACACACAGCATAAACTCCTCCCAACCAAGTTTCAAAAGCGTCTTACCGCCTCACATGACTTTTTAGAAAGTCATTTTTTTATAAACAACATTCTCTTTAAAACACTTTGTGCATATTTGTTCAAAGCTAAAGCACTAAAGCAAAAAGACGTCCCCTCTGTCTTCTGCTGCAAACTTGAAGAAAGTGAAGTGAAAAAAGTGCGTTAGCGAGGCACTGTTTTGTATGAAGGAATACATTAGCTATTCACCGTATACACATACATACACTCTCACACACACACACACACACACACATACACACACACACATACACACACACACACACGCACGCACACACAAACAGACCTCTCAAGGTGACCTCAGCTCTGCATACACAAAGGAAATCATGGAAGAGCATTTACGAGATGAATGGCTGCCACATCACAACAGATAAATCGACTTGGAGCCAGTAGGACATAGACGAGACGCATTAGCCTGCATAGGAATCACTATAAATGTAAAATGTGCACGTAGAGATTATTTGGTTAAACTGCAATCACTATTTTTTTAGTCTCAGTAATTGTGAAAAGACCTATTAAAAGGTAACAATGGAAATATACCTACTTTCAAGAAACGAGAGAAGAATTGTTTTGGTATTTGATTGGGTTGATTAATAGTTTGCACAAAATAAAAAAAATATATACTTAAATATGACACGTAACCTTTCAATCTGGGTCCTGCGTTAGACCTGTTTATTACAGGTGGCAGCAAGTTTCAATTACTGTATATGAATATACAATATATACACCTTAGTTTACACCAAGTTTTAGTTTTAGACTTGGTTCTTTTGCAAACTTAACTTTCAAACCACAAAAATTGTAATAAACCTCATCTAACTATAGTTCCTAGCTCTCTTTGGTTCCATCACATATTTTTGGCCCCTGTCACATTGTTAAATCTCTTTTTTGAGACAGAAAATGTAAAAAGAGCAGACCACCCTCACTCAGCCAATAGATTGTGACATACAGCGCTCTTTCTTGCAAGTAAGCGAATGATACTTTCTAATATCAAGACTTTTTTGGGCCAAACAACCAGTATCATTTATGAACGAAAGAAGCTAGGTACCCCAGCTTTAATGTAAATCTGACAGACCTGAATGATAATTATCTAAAGTGCAATAATACTTGGTCAACTGCTGTCTTTTCCTATTGTGTCATATACGTATACTGTTGTTGAATGTTATTTACTGCAGTTCAAAGATTCTTCCTCATGAAAAAGAAATATTTCATCATGTGTCAAATCATGTAACTGTATTTGTCAGAATAGGCCTATCCACGGTTTCTCTGACAACTTCTCTGACATCCTCAAAGTGAGAGGGGGGGGGGTGAACTTTCACTTGCCTCAAATTGGATACAAAACGGATGCACCCTCAATGACAGCTTTTAATTATTTCAAATACAACAACAGTAACCCAGTCCGTGTCTATCTATTGTCTGGTCTTTCTTGCCAGATCGGACATGACACGCGGCAGTTTGATGCATATTAATGTTCTTAAACGGGCCGTTGAGGGAGGGGTGGAGGGATAAGGGGGGGAATCACAAAGCCACGCACAGCCGGGACTCCTGGGAGCTGGGGAACAGGTGCAGCAGTGTGGTTCAAGGCAATAGGACTGGTTTATGGTGTGGGACAATCAATGAGGCAGTTTGAGTCTGATTCAGAAGAGCTCATTTTGTGGTTACGCCGCTTCATGGCTCATACACCTTTTGTAACATGAAAAATTACCGATCCTTTTCCTTGTCTTTGTCTTTGGTGTTACAGAAAACGGCAGGACATCCCTTAATTTGACTTCATAATTTAAATTTTCTAAATGAGGCTTTACTTTGATATGCAGAAGCCCTCTGCTCTGCTGAACTGGTCAGGTAGACATTATAGACACCTCAAATACTGTAAAAAGGAATGTGAGATGGAAATGAATATAAGCTCTTTGACATTAACTTGTATGTGTTTAATGGCAACACAGAGAATGCAGTTGAAATAAAGAAAGGTGCAAAATTTACAACCCTGCAACCAAGAACCTTTTTAACACGTTTGCACACTTCCTGTCTTTTTGCACAACCCGAGTGATTCTACTGTATCTGTGCCAAATGTGACATGCAAATATAGTTTATCTTATCTTTTCTTAAGAACACCTTTAGAACCAGAGTTTTCTCTAATACATTTAAATCTGACCCAAAAAAAATAGTGCCCTGAAACTGTATAGATAAAATAAAAGGAAAGCAAAGGTAAGGTAAGATAAAAAACAGGGAAACGCTTGTGCAAAGCCAAATTGCTAGGTGTCCTGGATCCAGGAGCTCAAGAAATTTGTCTTTGGCACCGAAAGGGTCAATCTAAATAGGCCTCTGTGAGAAAGAGTATGAGGCAAACAAAAGAGCTACAAGTTGTCACCTTATAAACCACGCAAAATTACTGTGCCCTATGAAACAATCAAATTACTGTGCCCTATGAAACAATCAAACTAAACCAAACCAAACCAAACCAGGATAGGGCTGAGTTTAGCCTTTGACAATATCCTTCATTTAAATCCGGAGATCCGTATAACCCATGGATCTATTATAATAACGTATAACCGCATGAAGGTGATTGACAGCAGGTCACAGAGCCACCGGAATACTTTATATATTTCCGTGAAACGCGTAACGATTGCCTGACGCACATTAAAGTCATTTTCTCTGAGGGCAAATGCTTTTTTCCCGGCTCAATAACCCGCAGCAGCGCTCCTCTCCCTCTCTCTCTCCCTCTGTGGTCCCTCCTTTGAGACCAGCGCAATCAACTTGAACCAGTCCACGCCCCCCTCTTTATTCTGAGGGAACTTATCTTTACGTCTACGTGTTGATGTCCCGCACACTGGAGTCGAGCTCAGGCAGGACTCAACTTCTACCGATGCTCAGTCACATCGCCAATAGCGCGCGTTTTGCCAAAATGGATTTGTTGGACCGCGGGTACCTGGATTCTCCGTACAACTACACCTTTAATTTCTGGAATGATTATCTCGGTTTGTCGACTCTTGTTGCGCAAAACAAACCAACAAACCCCAACTCTATCACGGAGTCTTTGAAAGCGACGCTGGGTTTGGATGACTCGCCTATGTGCCCGTGCGTAATTGGACACATGAGTCGGGACAATGAGTGCTGCTGTGCGCCTCCGAGCTCCCCTCCACTTTCTATTTACGAGCTGAAAGAAAGTCTCCTGCGGCCCTTCGAGCACGACTCCCCGCTGTCAGATCAAGAGTGTCCCGGTTACAGAGGCAGCTTCAGTGGGTTGGATCTCTTCTCCAGGCGCAAACCGTTCCCAGCCAGGTGCAAGCCAGAGCCAAAAGTCTGCGTGTTTTGTCGAAATAACGGCGCCCCGGAGGAGGTCTATGGCACTCACATCTTGAAGACGGTGGACGGGAGGGTGCTGTGTCCCATCCTCCGCGCCTACACCTGTCCCCTCTGCAGCGCCAACGGAGACAATGCGCATACAATTAAGTACTGCCCACTGTCCAGAGACCAGCACAACCACCGTGGCGCGCCCAAGGCTGGCAGAGCTATTGGCAAGAGACTTAAAATCTTTTAAAACTTCTTATTGATGGACGCTGAGTGACTGTGGGACGTTTTAGAGCTCCATCTGAGGCTCAAGAGTTTGGCAAGCCTGTCTCTAAAAAAAAGAAAAAAGAAAAATGGCCACAAATGGATGGCCATTTATGGACGTTTTGCAATTTCCAAATCTATTTTTTTTTCCAACAACTAACCTACCAATGTGTAGACAACAGAAACGTAAAGTTACAACTGTTGTCACTATACTACACTAATTGCAAACTCGATTTTGATACTAGAAATACTCAAAAATCAATACAAATTTCTCAATATACTTTTCACAATAATTTACACAAGTTATTCATAGTTTTACATATATCTAAAATGTTCAAGAAATGTCCAAATTTTGTCCTGTTTATGTAACTCTATTTAGTATTTGCTCAAATTAGTATCTGATATTCAATACTTTTTACAACCCTAGTTACAACCAGATCGTCCAGGATCCCCCCAACGTCATTATAATGATGCAATTTTACATTTGAAATCTTGTAGAGGCTATATTTTATACATATTTACATTGATATATGGACCATGTTTGCTGGAGGGTTTTTCACACACAGCACATTTGAGGACAGAATTGAGATGCATCCTTTTAGCACATACTTTAGGAGACTTTAGATGTATACTTCCCCCAAAAAGCACTCAAAATGTATAAATGAACCAAAGTACTGTTTACGAGACGACGTGTGAATGCCCACTTTCATGCTGTACCCAGAAGTGTACCCAGAAGTGTCCGTTTTGTGCCAGTGCAAACAGTTTCTGCGCATGTCAGCAGCCTGCCCAGCCTTTTCGTGCGATGCCAACGAAAATGAATGTTTTTATCCAAGTTGCCCGCCAATTTGCATTAATATAAACAAACAAGTTCAATGGAGCACATATTTTTCAGAGATTGGGTTTTTTCTACCAAAGCAATTGACTTTTTGTATGGAGAGTTGGCCTGTATTATATGTTGGATGTCTATGTGATCAAGGCCGAAATGAACTGAATGTACACAACGCTTTCTTTTGCAATTTTTGTATCATATGTAACTGTGTGAAGATTTTAGCAATGAGAACTGGATATATTATGTACTTATTTTTTACTTATTGTATCAAATATATTCTCTGTAAAATTGAATAAACAAACTTGCTTTTGCCTTAAATCATGATGTAGCGATGAACAAAGTAGAGAATCATCAAAGATGACACTACATCTGCATAGTGACTATTAGGGCACAGCTGCCCCCAACTGGTAAAAGTCTGCACTACAAAAACAGAACAGGCAACATCATTTACACAAAACCTGAACTGAGAACAAATGAAGGCCTATTGATTAGAACGACATCAGGATTTGGCAAAAATGAAAACCTAATTTGTACAATTGAGTTGCTGGACCAGCTATAGAGAAGAGCAATAACCCAAGAGTTAAATTAGTATTGACAACTGTTGTTTTAATATTCCACTTCGAAGTGTTGATTCTATGGGCTCCAACAAATACCACGTTGTTCACTTATACAATTACTTGACTCTAGGGCTATAACAATCAATCAATCACTTATAAATCAATTAATCACAATCTGCTAACTACTCTATCCACACAAGAATACGCTAAAGTATGCTAGATATAATAAGATGTGTGATTTTAAGACTCAAATAAAATCACAATAACATGTGTCTGGAAATACTGAGCTAATGTCCCCAAGCTGCTTTATTTCATATTTATAAGTTTCAAATTGAGATCAAATTTCATATTTGTTAGATAGATTTATTAGCGGAATAATCACCAGACAAATCACTTCTTGAAATACAAGTTATCAAATAATCAAGCTGACGAATTATCATTTGTATAATTAAACACAGATTTAAGGTTACATCCTATATGAAGCTGTCGTATGTACAGTATGAGTACTTGGACAGCCTCATCATTATGCCTAATGAACATAATAATAACTATTATTACTTTAATAATAGCAATAATATTAACAAGTCAAATTAAATGTTTTTTGGAACTAGACTCAAGTGTGTTGTATAAATAAACACTGTACATACGACATACTACACATTTTATGTATTTGATTTGACTGACACACATACAGAATACACAGTATAATTACTTATATACTTACCTTGTGAGTGACTGACCAATATCCAGGACGTATCAAAAATCCAAAAGGCCTGTGAAACACACAAGGAAAAGGTCATAAAGAGGTCTTGTTCCATCCATGCTATGGCAAAGGAGGACCGCGAACCCAGAGCTGTAAATGGTCTCTGTCGACATCTGCTGGTTTTATACCAGTACTGCAACAAATCGCAGCCTAATTCTCTGAATATTGGTCAACAAAGCCATAAACAGATCCGGGGCTGAATGAGATTGAGTTATTTGATAATAACGTTTCTTGTATGTTCCGACAGACTTTACTCTGTCAATGTTCAAATGGAGGTTAACACAGTTTTGTTTAGTTGTGCATAGAACTGAAGGATTGAGTCTTGTGTATGAACTGTGCTATACAAATAAACGTGTCTTACCTTGGAAATGACCACTACATAATTATTAGTCTTTATCACTCAAACAGCATGTTCAGCAAAGTCTCATTCACATTAAAGTCTTAACCTGCAACCAGTAATAGATTTGAACTGGAACCAATATACAACGCAAAGCCACTCGATTATAAATAAGATTAAAAAAACACATACTAAGTATTGTTTAATGCATTATGTCAGTGGCACAAAGCTGACCGTTTTGAAGATAATGGTCAAAACTCTTTTCACTGTATTTCATTAATTATTTGACCTAAAGTACAAATAAAATGCATTAAGCTAGAATTGCACAAGTCCACATGCAATGATACATTGTTTTTATATATACAGTATGAAAATAATTTGGGATGCAACAGTCAACCGTCAAGTTATATTGCTCCAAATGACCTTGTTTTAAAATACTATTATAGTTATAAAAAGAACAGACCTCTCCAAATACTAACAAGACAGCCACTTGTCTGTATGCTAATACGAGATAGAAGGTGTAATCATTTGTTTGAAATGAGTCTGTAGTTGAGATAATGGGCAATGGTAAACCGCCTCCAACAGGGAGGAGAAAGTATCGGGAATAAAGAAAGTAGCTATGAAATTATATGTATGACTGAAGCATAGGTTACTCCCGTAATCATGTGTTTCCTGAGGACAAAAAATCTCAATAGTTCATTTTGAGCATCACTCTTGACAACAGAGCCACTGCAGCCTCAAAGGAATGATGTCATCTGAAAAGCTGCGGTTGTCAGTGGCAGAATTGATCAAAGATGACCCAGTTTTCACTTCACAGCGTCTTTTATACGATCTCTCCGAAGCCAGGTCGGTCCAGTGGTGGTGATTTTTCATTAGACCGGTGATAGAGATGATTAAGTGGATTTCTCTCTATGCATAAACAGCTGGAATGTCTCCTCACTGCAGCGCGCTCCCATTGGTCGAGAGCGCGCTGACAGCAGAGAAGTGTCTGTGAGAGGAGGGAGGGGAGGGCTGGCTCTGTATATAAACCCCAGGATCTGCAGCATCACTGAGCTGGTGCAGTGCAAAACGCTCACTCATCCTCTCCCATGGTGTGCAGAACAAGGGGGACAAGCAAAACCCTGAAACTATAACTTTCATTTGAAAAAACACACACACACAAAATTCATCATGAGCTCCGATCCTTTTCTTTCCTACCACGGATCATGGGACATCTCCAGAGGGTCCCGAACCAAGACCCACTATTTCTCCTCATCTCCTCGCAATGTCCAGTCTGGGAAGAAAGTCCTCAGGCTGAGCTCTTCCCCTCTACCTTTCCATCTTCAGGACGGCCCGGGCATGGATTTAACCCAGGTCAGCTCGGTGAATTCGGAGCTATTGGAGACGAGGACGCTAGAACGGGAGCAACTTGTGGGTTTGAACGACCGCTTTGCCACCTACATTGAGAAAGTCAGGTACTTGGAGCAGCAGAACAGAGCCCTCCTGTCTGAGCTGGAGGTGCTGAGCACCAGACAGAGCACCCCGTCCCGTCTCCAGGCCGTGTTCGAGGGGGAGGCCCAAAACTTGAGGGCAATGATCAAGGCGGAGAGCGGAGAGAAGATGAGGATGGAAGCAAATCTGGTTTACCTGCGCGATGTGTGCGGACAGACAAAGGAGATGTTCGATAAGGAGGCCCGCAGGAGACAGGAGGCGGAGGAGGAGCTGCAGAGGGTGCGAGAGGAGGCCACCAGGTAAGATGTCCAAATGAAGATACCCATCATCTTGCTGTAGGAGATAGACACAAGATTATTTTTATTTATTTTTAAGATCAGACTAAAGTGAATGCAAATCTCCATATTAAATGCCCACATTGTGGCACAACCTGCATGTTAAAGTCTGATCCTGTCTAATCTCAGAAGACAAGAAGGGCAGGGCCTGGTTAGCGCTGTGATGGGAGACCTCTTGGGAACGTGCCAAACCAGTTGTTGTGTCCTTAGGCAAGACACTTCACCCACATTTCTCAGTATGGTGTGTGCATGATACTACTACTATAGTTGTAGCTTACTATCACTATATATGGAGTGAAATAATAATGCAATTAAAGCGCTATATAAAACCAATGAATTATTATAGTTTGTAAATTCTATAGATTGTAAATAGTTTAAAATGAAAAACAACATGGGCAGGTGACATATTTGATGGGCTTTGAAGCATAGCTCAAAAGTGAGTGAAAAGTTGACCTGTGTTGTTGTTCCCCCAGGGCCCTGCTGACACACTGGGATGCCCAGGCGGCTGTGGGGTCTCTGTGCGATGAGCTGCTGTTCCTGAAGAAGGTGTACACAGAGGAGCAGGCGGAGCTCCAGGCACAGCTGCAGGTGGCAAATATCTGTGTGGAGGTGGAGGTGTCCCGGCCTGACCTGTCCACCGCTCTACGGGACATCCGCTCCCAGTACGAGCGCCTGGCCCAGAGCAACATGCAGGTACAGACCCACGCCATCTTCTCTGCAGAGGAAAGATAAATTACAAATATTCAACACACACATTTGTTTAATTTATGCATTAGTGGGACTAATATAGGTTCTCTTATCAAGCCATTCACATTTCAGCATCATTCAAAACATTGATAGGTGAATAAGACAATGTCATCAAGTTTTTTGAGGGCTTTCAGACCTAAAAAAAAATGAAACTTGAATCCATCTCATAACAGTTTTGTTCTACCACTAGTTTTAACATATTTGGCTGAATTGTCTGATCATCTTTATTTATGTTAAAAATATAATTAGAGGACCACCCTCACTCAGCCAATCAGCAAAAGATTAAGATTTATTCACTCTATTGGGCTCATTCTGTTGGGACAAACAACATGTGTTATTTATGAAGAACCACAAGGTAAGGTAAAAATTTGATTTTTGCCTTTATCTCCAATATGAATATACAGGCAGCGGAGGAATGGTATAAGAACAAGTTTGCCAGTGTGGCAGAGGTGGCGAGCAAGAACAACGAGGCCGTGCGTGCAATCAGAGAGGAGACCATGGAGTATCGCCGGCTGCTTCAGATGCGCTCGTCCGAAATAGAAGGTCTAAAGAACGTCATCGGGTCCCTCACCAAACAACTGCAAGAACTGGAGAACATGCAGGCCAAAGAGGTGGCACGCTACCAGGCCAGTACCAAACTATCACACATAATGGTATTATCAGAGGTAGGAGCGTGGCAGGAATAGTAAAAGTAGTAGTAGAAATAGTTGAAGTAGTAGTATTCAATTGAGAGAAGGGATTGCAGGAGTGCTGCACTGGATCAAACAATAGTAAAACACGTACAGGTGCTCATCCGACTCATGGGTTTGAGAAAACTGTAGCAATTGAAAGAAATTGAGAAGGAGGCATCTGAAAACTGTGTTCTTTATGAAAATTGACCGACACATTTCGACAAAAGTCTTCGTCAGGGCAGTATTCAATATCAACTGTTTCATTGAATATCCATTACCTGGACTATATCACGACATAGGTAAGTCATGTGCTGAGAAAAGAGGGAAATTAATTAAACAAAGCTGTATTTACACCAGCATGACGTAAGAACCATGCTTATTTTGTGTATCATTGTGTAAGAATCAAATCAAAGAGAAAAGAGATAATACTCACAGAGGTTTTTCCATCTAAAAAGCTAATCCAATAAGTTTAATGATAAGTTAGAATCATCCATTAGAAAACAAATTGTATGTTTTGAAGTAAATCATATGGTGATAGCATAGCAGAGATAGTATAACATAATAATCAAACTACACAATACATATTTCTCTCCACACTGAAACAGCAAAGGATCATGGTCTATGTAGTTCCTTTGTAAACATCAGTACATGCCGATTAAAATAGTACCGTTATTGTAGTTGTAACAAAAGTTATTCTCAGCCTTCTTATCAGGTAAAAATAGCCATTACTCTGAAAAGGCATGACAAAGAGAAAAAGCAGAGACGCTGCAGAAAAGCAGGGCCATAAATATCACTTGGTGCAGCTCCTTTAGAAGTGTAGAGCTCAGCACACTTTACACTCAGAGGGAGACAGCAAGTTTCACGCTGATGCACACGTTGCCAAAGTCATTCATCAAAGATAAAGTAGTAGTTTATTCTGTCTTTTTGATATTCAAGCCAAACATATTTGCTATACATGATCCATATAAATAAAGTAGGATATGTTTGTGTTGGACAGGAGAGGATATGTGACCTGGAGAGTGACATCACCGAAGCCAAGCATGAAATGGCTTGTTACCTGAAAGATTATCAAGACCTGCTGAATGTGAAGATGGCCCTCGATATCGAGATTGCAGCGTACAGGTAAGTAGTAAAAGAACTTGAAATAAAACTTGCAAAAGCTCAACTGAGCAACGTGTGGTACACACAATTTTGACAACAAAAAATCACTAATGAACTATTTTCCCTTGAAATCTGCTCATCTACTTGTTCTGAGTAGATGAGCAGATTTCCATTTGAGAATAACAATTGGCACTTATAATCCACTTTTGATTGTGGTTTAGGGAGTTTACAGTTAACATTAAAAGTACATGCCGATTACTTTAACAATTATTGTTGTATCGGTTTCTGGATAGAAATGAACATTTGCTGCATTGCTTTCAGGAATAATGGAGCAAAAGCATGAGCTCAATTAGGGCTGGGCAAAAAATCAAATATTGCAATTAATCGGCTTTTGAAAAAATCGAATTCGTGAAAAATGTGAAAATCGTGAAATCGAATGAGGGATATTGTGAAAGTTCCAGCAGCACATCAATTATACTTGCGATATCAGCACAGTCTGTACTAGACTTTAATATTAGGTATTGGGGGGAAACAAATAAAAAATTGTTTTGAAACTTAAATATTAAGCGGGAAGATAAAAAATATTTTAAGGGCAAAGTCTGTCTTGAGTGACTTTAATGAAAATCCATTTAAAATCGACATCGTCCAAAGCAGGAAATAAAATCGAGATTTTACTTTTTTGCCATATCGCCCAGCCCTAAGTTCAATTAATGTATACTAAATGAAGACTCTTTTCTGCTCGGTGCACAGAGTCACAGTTAAACGATTACAGAGATATTCAACTAAAACCTGGAACAGTCTTTTTGAAAATATGAGACAAAAGTCTCTTATAATGTTCAAAACCCAGGTGAAAACTGTTCTATTAAAGAAACAGATTTGCTGATTTTAAGTTTTCAAACAGTTTGAATTGTGCAATCTATTGTACTAGCCTTAGATAGTTGGGACACAGACAGGGCACTTTAAACCAGCGTTTTATGCTCAACATACTGTGTGTATTGGAAAACAAAGAGAAAATGGATCACTGAAGACTTAGGTACTCTTCAAGGATCCATATGCACTTGTATTCAAACTCTATGTATTGCTTTCAGGAAACTTCTGGAAGGAGAGGAGGTTCGCCTGGCTTACCCATCACTTCCTGCTCTCAACTAGATTCAAAACTCTGCCCATCAGCCTCCCCACTCTCCTCTTCTCCCGTTCTCCATTTACCCTTCATTCTCAAAACTACATCCACAACTCAACACTAAGACACCTGCGCCCTTGTGCTAATGGCTACAAGAGGTCTAATAGAAGTCCCCCTTCTTCTACACACGTCTTAACACCAATAATTTCAACTGCAACGAGTGGAAGCTGCACTGCATTAGTTACATACAGCTCTATGGGACAGACATGTCGTTTTGACTGAATTTGTCCAATTATCAAATGTTATTTCACTATAGATCCTCACTGCGCAAACATTTGACCAATTGTTTGTAAAAAGAAGGAATTTTTAACTTTTGATGGTTGGACTTGTCAAATCGGTTAACATCGTCTTGCAATCAACTTATCATTAATGATCAGCAAACCAGTAACCTTAAACATTTGCTTTCAGAAACTTAACTTTTTGTGATTTTTTGTTTTTCCTCTATTGCTTTTACAGCTACAGACTGGTTCAACTAAACTACACTGGTAGATTCTGATGATTATCCTGGTATTCATACAAACATTCTCTCTGATAGTTCAGGTTTATGCAAATTGTAACAGCAATAGAGGATGACTTTGTTACTGGTTTTCTCTTATAATGTCCTCAGTTTAAATTAGTTGTTAAAACAATGAAACAATACATGCAGGAGCACCTTGTTGTTTGTGAAATAAATTATTTAACATCTGTGAAACTAACACAAGCGACTGTGTCAATGTCAGAGCCAACAACAAGCTAAATAAATTCAAGTTACCTGCAAAACATGTTGAGTCTTTCTTGTTCCTTTCGCCACACACAACAGGCCTGGTCCTGGATGAGCTGACAGAAAGAAAAAAAAAAGAATAAAGAAGTGAGATGTAGTTAGGGAAATGGGTTAGGGTTAAAATAATGTTTACTTTATTGTCCCTGTAGGGAAATGAGTCCTCTATACTTGAGGTATCCTTCAATGCCACTGTCAGAAGCAATGTTGTTGCCAGTGATGTCAAGGAGCTGGAGGATAGGCTAGAATATAGTACACACCGAAAGAGTTCAGACCATAGTCTGTAAATATTAGACCCATGTCTTGAATAAACGGTTAACAACATGAATGTGTGCATCTTTAAAGCATTTATTTTGTTTACAACCTTGAAAAACGTATGGGTGAACTATTTTCCTGGTTGAAATCCTTCAGGTGAGTTTTTTTCCAAAATGTAATGTGAAACAGACAAAATTAAGTTGAAAACTTCAAAAGAGACAGAGGATTACTAAAATAAGTAAATAACAGAAAATGACGTAATACAAATGTCTGAGAGAAGTCAGGTCCTGGATTCAGAAGCTCATGAAGAAAGGTTGTCACTTTGTCATAAATATGCAATCTGTTAAAAAAAAAAAAAAACCTGTGAGACAGGCCTCCTCTCTGACAATGTTTAAGACAAGGTTGAAAACAGTTCTGTTTAGCTGTGCATACAACTGAGGGATTTTATATTTTTATCTTTTTTTTAATGTACTGTGATTATTTATGATTTTAATGCTTTCTTGTTCTGTTCAGCACTTTGAATTGCCTTGTGTATGAATTGTGCTATATAAATAAACTTGCCTTGCCTTGCCTTGCCTTATATGCTCGAAACAAAACTCAAAATATATAACAAATGTCATGACTCTTACAATAAGTCACATACAAACTGTAGAATCCTCAATAGTTGCATCTTTTTTTGATTGAAAGAAACGCAGCTGTTGTACAGACAGACGAGGTGGGTATGCTGTAGTGTAGATTAGACATGACAGTCTACGGAATCTACGTAACCATTTGTTACGTAGAACGAGCTGACGTCATTTCCGCAAACACAAGATGGCGGCGGCCTTCCGGAGTGTGCTCCGCGCTGTCACTCAGATAAGGTGAGAATAAACTATGATTTCAACTAGTATTTCATTTGACATCCATCCACGCTTGATAATGAAACTCATATTTAATTAATCGAGGGTTTTTAGTAAAGGAAACATATCAGACTGGACTAGTTAAATTGGGGTTCTGCAAAAGATGGGTTTGAAGAAGGTTAGTCATATCATGAGGTACGTGTTCTGGTATGTTCTGTTATGTACTTAAATGAAACAGTTTAGGTTAGATTTATGGCCATAATTTACAGAGTGTTCATACCCCCTTTCACGGATTTGGACAATCAGCTGACATGAGGTAATACCACATGCAGCAGCAGACTGATTACTCAGTGAAATCCTGCTTGGTTCTCCTTCTTTGACCTACTTTCGAGTCTGTAAGGTATAGACATTTATTTAATTGTAATTGTTGTTCCATAAACTGTTATTCATTTAAGCAGCTCTAGTGGAAAAGTGTATCATTAGCACGATTACATACTTTGTGGGTCCTAAATAAAACGGTTGTTTAAAGTACCGACTCTCCTAATCATACTACACAGAATTCTGAATGCACATAAAGATGCATTTGGACTGAACTGGCCGGGCAAACAGCATTCCTTTTGCAGTGTATGTTTTCTATTGCTGATTGGTCAAAGTGCTCTAGTGTTAACTAGAATTAACTTCTGAAAAATAGTTGATTAAAGGCATAAATGGGTATACCATGTTAATATATTTGTGTATTAATCAATGTTTTTTTTCTTATTTTTTCCAGACCACCTGCGATCAGAATACAACAATGCAACCTCAGCACAGGTAATTAATTATCCATGCATTCACTGACCTGATGATTATATAATTTATTAAGATTAGATGAATAAAAAATCTCTAGACTATTTGCTTGCAAATACATCTTAGCTGAGGTATGAAAGTAAAACTTCAGAGAGAAGAGATACAAGTAAGTACCTTTTAGAGATAAGTGCATTAGTTTCCTTTAAAACAAAAATGCATCCAGACCCTGATTTGGATCATCTCCAAAATGACTCGTTCACTGGGCCTTCTGCACGGTCCCTGAAAATGTCCTCCAAATCCTCCTATAACTTTTTTGATTTATGTTGCAGTTAGGGTACGGGTAAGGGTTTGATAGCTACAACTGTTTCTGTATGAATCATTGGTGACCACATTGTACTTAATCATATTTTCTTTAGTATTGCACTGGATTACTGCATGTGAATGACATGTAGACCTGCTAATTAAATTATACAGATATACAGACAAATATAATACAAGAAATCTAGGTTGTGTCAGGCTAGTTATAGAAGACATCGATTTGGCTAACTAGACTCAAGGAAGTGGCAGAAATATGGTGCAACAGGTTGGTGTATGAAAGGGGATATTAATAGTATTACAATATTTACAGAAAGGCAGATAAAGACTCTGCTCAGTATTGTTCTGTCCTGCACAATTGAAAGTCTTGGGTATTGTTCATTGTAGCCAGTGGGACAGTGTTTATTTTGTACAGGATGTGAATTTTGCAGATGAAAATGTCTGCAGCGGTAGTATCGTGTGTTTAGACACATATAGACTCTTCTGGTCTTTTGTTAACAGTTCGAGGGCTGTTCAGACGTCCCTTCAGACCTGTCCCGGTGCTCGTGGTGACTGGAGGAGGCTACTATGGTTACCAGCAGTACAAGGGAAAACCGGAAGTAGAAGGAGCTGCTCCTGTTTTGGCCACTCCCTCTCAGGTAAACCCACACGTCTTTGTTGAAACTAGATCGGGAAGAAATATCTGGTTGCCCTCAGTATTAGTTAGAGATGTATTTAAAAGTGCCTTACCTCCAAAACATGTGCCCCCTTTTCTCAATAAAGAAATACACACATACGCACACACAGGCGCTGTGAAGTGGGTTCCAGATGTAACTCCCATAGTTTTTCAGCAAAACTAACCTAAAAAAAGAGTCACATGATGAGTGGTAATTTCTTATGATTATTGTTGAGTGAGGATACATCTTTGCATTTACAATTTATCTGGAAAGATTTACAAAATATTTAGAAGTTTAGGTATTTAAAAAGTGAAATATAAAAGGGACAATGTATGAAGAGGTTGAAGACAAATTCAATGTTGTATATTTGTCCTTAACGGAATCGATATTGTTTGATATCATTTGCAAACTTCCCTTACATGCCACGGACCTGACTTACAAAATCTGTGAATTTCAAGTCACTAGTTGTGTGTCTGAAAAGATTCTTCCATTCTTCGAACACTTTTAAAAACAATGAAATATTGCCTAAGTAGTTGTAGATATTACACTGAAATATCGCACTAAAGTAATGGTCCTGTCTGGTCCTCTGCAATTCCAGACTCCCTCTCTATTGAGCAGCCTTGTTGGCCTACATTTCAGTTTGCAGTGACCTAGAAGCTGTTTTTAGTCTCTGTTTATTTGCCTTTGTGTTAAGCTCTGACCTATATTCAACCTGAACACTTGGAGCGGTGTTGAACATAGCACATTAAATCCACAGGAAAGACTTCTCGCTGAGTAATTATTTGCAGTCAACCTTTTGATCCTTTCAGACACTTCCTCTTCACTCTCTTTTACTGTTTTATGACCCTTAAGACGGTAAAAATAACTTTTAGAATAATGTTTTTTAGGTTTTGAAATTGATTTTTTGATTGGTTGATACTAATTGTAACAGTGATTGTTGAGAAATCTAAAATATAATGCTATATTCACTACTATATCTACAGTCACTATACAGATTAGTTTAGTTTCATTACTTTTTCTTTTGGTTTTACAAATTAAATGTAGCTCTATATACTATTACATGACAATTGATATTAGGATATTAGTATGTCAATCTGCAGTGGTAAATGTCTATTGTAATCTTCAAATGGATCTGCTTCACAATGCCTCTGATGAGTGAATGAGGCCACTGTTTAGAGTGAGCTGCTGATGGGTGTTCACTCTAATCCTAATCCAGCTCTGGACTCTCGACAGTCAGCCGTCTGACTACACTTTCAAACCCCACCGACCAAACCAGGACTAAAAAACGGGAAATAACCCAGTGCATTGGACTTATTTTCCCTTTGTACCAGCACTGTCCGCGGACGTGCTTTGTTCTTTGGATATTGCTTGCATTTTGGAGTGAACTCAGCGATACCCCCTTGAGTTCCACATTTTTTGTGTGGTTTTGTTGATGGAGGTTTTTTGTGACCTTCGATTCGGATTTTGAATGGTTCACAACATCAACGTTATTTATTCTAAAGTTGATAGTATTGCGCAGAAAGCTATCCTACGTCGTAGGTTGCACTGTGAAGAAATAATTTTGCAGGAAGACTTAACTTTTTCTTTCGTAATCTCAACCACATTGAGTGGGTTTTCCACTCTTAACTGATGCACTTGATGGACTATATTTTGTAGTTTCTCGCATATTATTGTTGCTTGTTTTGGATGAGGTCTTAAAACTAGTTCATGTTGGGATTACAATCTACCGGTTCATATGACAATTGAGGATTAGCCTGGGATGTGTGCCAAATGAGATCATGGACAGATTCAGGGCTGCAAAAACAGGTCGTTGTTGAGTGATTTGAATATGATTGCAGATAATTTAAGCTTGGATTGGAGTATTATATTTGTCGGACAGTTAGGAATGCTATAGTGACGATATGGTGAAGTTTTGGTCTAATTGTGGCGATGAGCGTGGAAGTCGTGGCGTGTTGAGACACATTCAAAAGAAAACCAACAAAGACCAAAGAAAAGTTACGCCGAAGATAATCATAAACACTGAAGAGAGGCAATGCAACGGTGCAACAACAACGCGAAAAACAGAGGAAAATACAGGGAAAAGCTGGAAGGATGGAGAAGGAAAAAGAATCCGCTTTAGGTGAAATTGTAAATTATATTAAGCATATGTTTTTAGCATCACTCTGCTGCATTTGTGTTGGTTTGTTAAGCTTGCTTTTGCATGTCTAAGGATATAATGCTAAAACCTTTCATTTTTTAAGAAAGTCCTGTGAGTCACTTAAGGGTTAGGGTTAGGCTGACTGAGTGAGGACAAAATATATATGTGTATAATTATACATGACAATCACCTAATGTGATTGAATGCACATCTCCTAGAGTAAGTAGTTATATTTTGCATCTGACATGTGGCAGGGAAGATCATGCATGGCCAGAAAGTTCTACTCTTTACCAAATGCTCCAAACTGTAGTCTATCATGTCATATACCCTTTATTATCAGAGGGGCATATAAAGAAAGAATGCATTGATGTTTTCTGTTTTATTTCATTAATATTATTACTGTTGACTCATTTTGCAGCTCTTTACTCCAATATTTTGTATAAGCATTTCCACTCGATCCTGTAGGTCCCTACTGTTTGCCAATAGTATTCCATTGCATTTCATTTGATTAGTGATTAGCTATATCAGTGAGCAGCTTATGATCTATATTTTAGGCTGGTCCCACAGCTGACTCTGAAGCGCCGTCTGAACACGCTTAGTAGAAGCGCAGCCCCCTGGCGCCGTCGACCTATGGCGTTCCTCTACTGCACATTGACCACCAGAGCTTTGCGACCGCTGGCCAATCGGGTAAAGCCTCCTGAACGTGTTTGTATCCCACTGAGCAAAACTGTGTCCATTCAGCTCACTCAGCATGATTTGGTGTAGATGTTCCATGGTGTCACATTTGCAACCAAAAGTAAACCAGTGTGACAGCACGAAGTACGAAGGTCCAGGATTAGGTTAAATATTTCATCATTCTAATTCTGTCCTTCTCAAATGTGATTAAGTCTAGAAAAAATATGACTAAGGAATAGAGTATTTCTCCAACAATAGCAAATGGATCAGTATGACAGCCGGTTGGCAGGACGGATCAATATTTTGGTTCAAAATAGACTTCATGTGAGCTCTAGCTTGTTGATAAGCTGCTATAATAAAATAATTTGGCCATTCTTTGATGTGACATTCTGATCCCCGTCATATCTCAGAAGCTAAGCAGGACACCTGTATTCCCAGAGCAGGTTGTTTCTGGCTTTTTAATATCACGACATATCATAGACTTCTTCTCATGCCGTGGATCACTCATTAATGAAAGTTGTATTACAATATCCAAAATGTTTAAAGCCAAAATCTTTCTTTGGACTACACTATCTATTATGACCAAATCAAAACTCTATTCAATAAATGCAATAAACATTCTAAATGCGTTTAAGTCTTTTCATCAAAATTACTAGGATTCTCCTTCCGAAACCAGAGTGCTCCCCATACTTTTGAGCTCCAAACATCTAAGTGGACTATCCGTTAAGTGGCCCAGGCCTAGTTCTGATCATAATCCAATTTCACTCTTGTTTACTTATACTGAGAGACAACCAGATAGTCTGCTTCCCTTTCACTTTCCTTTATTGCTGTTCTCCTTGGGAATTGCTTTCACTTGAAATTGATTTTACATGTATGTTCTTTTATTGTAGGTGGCGCTGTACAGATCATTTCCCACTCGAGTGATATCACGAGTTTGGGGTAAGATCAACGCTGTAGATTTGCCCACCTTTTTACGAAAACCCATCTATTCGCTCTATATCTGGACCTTTGGAGTCAACATGCAGGTAACTAGTAGCAACCAGCTATCGTCATAATGAATGAAACTGCCATATTGACAAGTTTGTGCTTCTGGAAGGAAGCCGCAGTGGAGGACTTGCATTTTTACAAGAATTTAGGAGAATTTTTCAGACGAAGACTTAAACCTGCTGCAAGACCTGTCTGCTCCTCCTCCTGCCTGGTGAGCACCTATGTTCTGTTGTATTTACAATTTTGGGCCAATGGGAATCTGCAAGGATGAAAGACACTCTTTAGCTGCTTTTATGGGGCTACAATTGGAAGAGTTTGATAGGAGGATACAGGATAATCATTGATAAATTAGATTAAGAATTAACCCTGTGACCCTGGGACATATTGGTACAATACTGATGCATAGCTTTACTGTATTGTTTATATGCAATGGGAGACGTTTCTGTTAATTTGATTTTTCCAACTGTTTTTCCAGACGTCTCCAGCAGATGGCAGAGTGCTACACTTTGGTTCTGTGAAAAACTCAGAGGTGGAGCAGGTCAAAGGTGTCACATACAGTTTAGAGCAGTTTTTAGGACCACATAACGGAACTGCCCAAGGTGAGAGACTAAGCTTTCAATTCTAAACAAATCTAGACTTGTCTTTGTGTTATTGTTCAGTTATCTATATTTTAACAACATGAAGCACATAACACTAAAATAACTAAAAAAAAATTCAGATGATACAACAATTAGCAGTTAATTAGACTATTGTGTGTTGGGTCGGCATTCTAACCTCGGGAGACAGTAACAGGCTCGACAGACTGATCAGGAAATGTGTTTCTGTGACGGCGGGAAATGTGGACTCTGTGGGAGCTGTGCTGGAAAGAAGGATTATGGCTCTCCTGCAGGGGATCCCGAGTAACCTCAGACATCCTCTGCACTAATACAGCTATCTATCTATCTATTAAGTTGGTTAGTTATAATACTGAAAACCTGTAGCCACATGGCCCCCTCCAGAACGACCTTCAGAGCCTTGTTGTAAAGTAGTGCTATGATGTTGTGACATTGTAATGCTTTGTCTATTAATTGTATATTTATTGACTTTTGAATGCATTTTTGATCTGTGTTTTTTTTTTTTTTCTTGTGAAGCTCTTTGAATTGCCTTGTACACAAATTGTGCTATACAAATAAATGATTGATTGATGAGCTGCTAACCTCCCTGTGTGTCTGTGCTCTGCTGCAGCCGACAGCTTCGGAGACGGCCTCCTGTCTCATCCGGATAACGACCTGTTTCATGTGGTCATTTATTTGGCCCCAGGCGATTATCACTGCTTCCACTCACCGGTCGACTGGACGGTGCAGCTGAGGAGACACTTCCCAGGTGACACATTCACTATTCAGCAACACCACTTTACTCTTTACTTTGATAACTGTGCAATAAAGACGTGCTACTGACTCCTTTAAATGTTCCCCTTGTTGACCAACATTGTGAGCTTTCTTACGGTTTCCAGTAGATGGTAGTAGTTCTAGTTTCAATGTACTTGAGTAAGGACAGAAATGGGGAATAACATTCAAGAAATAATTGAACTGCACAAGAGAAATACTCATGTCCAATGTAACATCCTCCAAGATATGTAAAGACTGAGACGCTCAAAGGCATAAAGATATTGCTTGTTAAAAATAATTTGCCATGTGGTTTTAAATGAACATCCTATTTTAACGCCAAAGTCTTGTGTGAATTTTGATTCTGAAACCTTTGTTGTCCTGCAGGCTCCCTGATGTCGGTCAGTCCTGGAGTGGCTCATCGGGTGAAAGAGCTTTTTTGTCTAAATGAACGAGTGGCTCTGACCGGTCAATGGGAACATGGCTTCTTCTCTCTCACCGCTGTTGGGGCGACCAACGTGGGCTCAATACGCATCTACTTTGATCAGGTACTAAATCTCACTGTGATAAGCGGGTAGACCAGATGTAAGATTGTTTTCGAGAGGTAGAATCTATTCAAAAAATGTCTTTTTGTGTTTACAAAGACATTTAGGCGCATGAGAGCCCAAACTTTATCAAACCTAGATTTTCTTTTCCAGTGATAATATCCCTGGAGTTGGGCTGTGAAAGGGCAGAAATGTTACTTTAGAGTCTAAAGTAAAATGTCTTTTCTTTTCTGGTTGATCGGGTATTGGCAGAATCCTGATGTACAGTATAGTGAAGATAAAGGATTGGACACATATATTTCATATTAGATTCTAGTATTTAATGTGGATGTAGATTCGATCACTTTAGTCTTACCATCCTATTACCTGCTACTATTACCCATATCCATCTTCACACTATCCATCTTCTTTCGCAGGAACTCCAAACAAACACTCCTAGATACAGAAAAGGCTCGTGTCATGAGCGCTGCTATGAGGGGGAGGAGTCCTGTGCCTCTGGGGTGACGTTACAGAAAGGATCACCTCTGGGTGAGTTTAACCTGGGATCCACCGTGGTTTTAGTTTTCGAAGCTCCTAAAGACTTCAGCTTCAACCTGAAAACCGGACAGAAGATCCGAGTCGGTGAGGGGCTGGGTCTGCTTTCCTGAAACGACCAGCTTTCACTTTTGATCATTCAAATATAGGAGTTTCTAACACGTGTGAAAATGAGAAATTATTATATCAACGTTGGACTGTGATGTGGCCAAAAGCGTTTGGAGAAAACTACTGTAAGGATGGGGGATGTTTTGGTATCAGTATTGGTCAATATTAATCAATACTGTTGGAAATCTCCATTATTCAAACAAACTTCCAATAAATAGAACTGTTATTTCTTTTATCCTATGACATCCAACGTTTCTAACAGGTTAAAGGCAAGTTGGCTTTTATCAGTGTGATTGTGTATCATGATTTATACTGTTAAAGATCAGATTTGCATCTACTTTAAAGGAAATCCATAGTCATTATTATCTGTATACATGTAACTGAAAAGAAAGGCTTGTGCATCAGAGCTATCATAAAGCTCTGATAGTGGTATCACATACACATCCCCTCATGTATATACAGAAACTTAATATGCAACATACTCATTACGTCCACTGCTTAAACTGTGTTTTTGGCTTAAATAAAATGGTGAGGGCATTTGATTAACGCAGACGTTATGGGAGAATAAATACTAGGAGGAGATGCTTGAAATGTCATGGGCACAAATGAGATTCAGGATTTCTTGAAGGATGGAGTACAAGGCTTTTCTCTTAGCAGCACACATTACTGGTTTCAGAATACATCCCTAAAGAGCTTAAAAATCACTGTTGTAGATTGATAATTGTCCATATTCATCCAAAATCCAGTCTCACTTACTGTATTATTTGGGAGATATGACTAGAGTGAGGTAGCGTTGAAGTGACTGCCCCATGGATTAACAGAGGTATAGATATTAGCCAGAAAAAAAATCTGATCTGAATCACATGTCTCCCTTTAGTCTTATCTTTGTTAATGTATACTTAAGATGCCAACATTTGTGCAGTTAAGAGGGTCTGTGTGTACAAATCTAACTGCACCCGTCTCGGACCACTATGAAGAGTTCTGCCCTTTTTCTTTGGTGAAATGATCTCTGGGGACAGGTTAGGACTGACTGGGCCAGAATCTATTGTCTTGTTATTTAAGCAGCTTTTAAAATGCCTTTAATAATTTGTGATGAATGGATATTACTGCTGCCTTTATTACTTAATGTTCTTTTTATACCGTTTGTTCTGAGATGAACTAAATGTGTGACAATGAAACATGATTGATGTTTGTATGTTAAGCAAACTATTGGTATCATGAAGAGTGTACATGCATGTCTCTTTGCTTTCTTGTACGTTTAATTTCAATGTTATTTAAATCATTAAGCAGTGTTAAGTTATCTATACATTGGAATAGCACTAACTCATGAACAAACAGAAGTATAAATCCATCCATCCATATGATTTTGTATCACTGTAAATTAATTATAATAAAATATTTTTCTATGCACTTAACATGTGTGGCGTTGTATGCATCAGTAAAGTCTTTTGAGGGGTCATTACTGGTATAAAATAATCATAGGACTGCAGCACAATTGAGCTGTTTTATTAAAGAATCAGATCTCGGAACACTATATGAACAAAGAATTGTGAACTTAAGATTCCAACATGCATTAAATGACATGGACAAAGACTGAACCTTCTCTGCCTCAGTTAACTTGTTTCTCAAGATGAGCCCTGAACGGAAATGGCTTAGGCGTGTTCTTGTCTTAGTAAGTTAAACAATTTGCTTCTTCTATACCAGACGATTGTAACAAAATGCATCGCTATCTTACAATGTTCAGGTATAGAATACCACACATGTCAAATATCTGTCACATCAGCAGAAAAGTCATCACTGAGAGTCCTTGTATGGTGGCTCCACTTCTGCAGGAGTCTGTAAATTTGGATCTACTTTCACATCTTCTCCCCGTTCATGTGGCTTGAAGCAGTTAGGATTCAGTTTTCCACAAGGACCACACTGGACTCTGGTTTGGGAATAACTGGGTCTAAAGATAGAAAAGAAAACACAGGCACAATTTAAGAAAATGCTTTGAACCTATAAAATGAATGTGTAATGTAATTCAAATGTATTTCATTGATTAATTCATTATAACTAAAAACTCCCTGCAATCTGAATAAACTTGCCATTTGCCATTGTTCAAAATAAAGCAATGTTTTTATGTCTATTTTAACTTTCCTCGTGTGAATAATTATGTGGCTGAAGTGGCCTAATAATAAAATCCTTTGAGCTGAAAGTCCAGATTCAAACATTCACTTCTGAATATGAGGTGATATTTCAATAGGATTATCCCAAATCGCTAGTATAAACTGTTACATTCTTATGTGATTACAGCACAGATGATTTGACCTACTGAAACAATAGATCCAGACAATGTCAGTCTGCAGATTTCATGAGCATGTAGGACAAACACCCTCTTTGTTTGTAATTGAAGCAGCTTCTAAGAAAACATCTCACATTTCGGACGGCGATCAGGTCTTCCTTCTCTGTGTGTTCTCGCATGATTCATTTGAGTAGCGCGTCGAGCAAAACACTTCCCACAGATTGGACAGCTGAATGATCTTACATCCGAGTGACGTTCAAGAAAATGCATATTTTTTTGATGCGACGACTTAAAGTGTCTGTTACAAATAGGGCAGTAGGGTTTTCTTCTCTTTGGGATATCTGGTGAGAAAGAAACACAAACACATTAGACCAATGCTTCAAACAAATATAAAATGCATAGTCCTAATGCACAAAACCTCCCGAAAGCTACTTAAGACGCTGACCTTAAAGTGGCCTAAATAATGCTAAGCAATATTGTTTTTTCTTTTACATTTATTTAATCTATTCTCTCGTTCGTTAATGTGACTATTTTCCATGTTGAGTAATTTGTTGACAGTCCCAAAAATATTTCTGTCCAATCTGTTGAATGTTTAGTATCTAAAATTATCTGACCCGATTATGTGGTGCGTTAAAAGATTTATAATAAAATGAGTAAAAGCTCGACAAACAATAGGTCAAATCTAAACAATATTTGCCCGCTAATTTGATGAGCTATTTAAATCGTGAAATCAAGAGGCAGCCCTTTGCTACAAAATTACAATACTCTTCATGTGGCGATTTAGATACTTGTTACGGACAAAAATCCTTTCACAGATTCAGATGTCTTTGTAAAGCATGTGTACACCTGAATGGACACATTTGGCATACGGGTCAGCAGGCTTCGGTCTGTGGTGCAGCCTTGCTTTTTTGTCTTTACTTGTATCTCTTTTGTGGAGGTCTTTATCCTCTTCTATCTGCAGTTGTTCCCCTGGAATCCCCCGGTTGTCCTTCTCGGTGTAAGAAGACTCTTTCGTCTTCACACAGCTCACACTGGACTTTGGGTTTGGGATCACTGTGTCAAAAATAAGACATTAAAATATGTTTGGTAAAATCTGAAAAATACACATTCTTTTCCCCCTAGAAATATATAACAGTTCTACAGATGCAACCATGTGCTCCAAAATTGCACTCCAAAACATCATCTCACATGTGGGACGGTGGCCATGTTCTTCTTTGGTACTGTGCGTCTTCCTATGTCGAATTAGTTCCCATGCTCGAAGAAAAGTCCTCTGACAGATTTGACATCTAAATTCTCCCGAGTGACTTCCACGATGTCTACTTAATTCACTTAGTCCCTTAAACTTCCTGTGACATATGGCGCAGCTGGGTTCCCTTCGACTTTTTCTGGGTTCCCTTCGCCTTCTTCTGGGTTCCCTTCGCCTTCTTCTGTGTTCGATTACAGTGGTTCTGTCTCTGCTGTAGACTTGGTTGTCGAGGTCTTCATCCTGTTCATATGGCGCGCCCCAGTCTTCATTGTTGTCATTATCAGAGGAATCCATGTCTGCACCAGTCTGTGAATATGGATCTGCGTTCATTTCTTCGCCCTGTGTTTCCACTTTATGTTCATTTGGCTTTGGTTGAAGCAAATCTACGATCTTCTCACAGGTCACACTGGACGCTGCTAAACGCTCTATCAGTACAAAACAGTTCAGCAGACTGTGTGCTGTGAACGCATCTTCCTGTTGTTTCACCTGTAGCTCCTGTGGCTCATCTTTTACCAGACTATAGTCAGCATTTTGTGTTTCAGAACGGACGGCGGAGATCTGAACACCCGGTGAATGCAGCGTCGAGTCCACCGGTTCCTGGTTACTCCTCTGGTGCTCCTCTTGAGAGCGACTAAGTTTCTCCTCATACTCCGCTATTATCCACTCAAACAGCGTGAATATTTCTTCCGCCACCACCGCCAGCCGCTCATTCACAAAAGCTCGAACCGTTTCACTTCTAGACATGTTATCAGAAGTTATTTCCGAGTTAGTTAGCTATACCAAGCTACACACGCGTGTAGTGGGGTCGGTGTTGTGAACATTTGTAAGAGGGAGGAGCCGAGGTAGCGTCACTTCCGTTTGAGTTGCCAAGTTGGCCAGTTCATCTTTATGCAAATATCATAAATTGAAATTCAGTAACAACAAACTTATTTAAAAAAATGTAACACTAAAATATATATATAATATAAAGCCACATAAAACCCAAAATACTTGAGGAAATATATATATATATATATATATATATATATATATATATATATATATATATATATATATATATATATATATATATATATATATATATATATATATATATATATATATATATATATATATATATATAAATAATCTCGATACGTTATCGTTACCTTACTATCTGGCAACCCTGAGTGCAGCATTCACCAAGATGGCGGCGCACTGTGAATAACACGGCTGTCACTTTGCCATGCTTTTAGAGCCAGTTTTTTCCTCAATTCACCGCATTGTCCGTGATTTCATTGACCAAGGATATGTTACAAGCTCTGTGCAGCAGGAGCCTTCAGGCAGCCCGGCTCTGTGCCCCCAGGAGAGCCGTAGTAGTTGAAGTGGTCCGCGGTAGAAAGTCCCGCAGTGACCCGATAGCTAAGTCCAAAGAGGGGCGAATCAAAACCCCTCCGCCCGTGGACCCAGTTGAGATGGTGGTTCTGAAGGAGAGATACGAGGAGTACCAGCTCATCATCAGTGCTCTCCGGTGTGTTTGGAGTTGTTTATACACTTTGTACTTGGTATATGGTTTGCCCATGTCAATATTGTAGGTTTCATCAAAAATGCACAGCTGTTAAGCTAATGTGAGTGTGGGTAAAGAAATATACATACTATTTATGCAGTGCTTCATACTTTCGTCTTTAGATGCATGCATTTTTGGCCTCTGACACTTAGAAGGATATTTTGAGAGAGAAGAGTTAAAAGAGAAAAGCACCCTCTCTTTGCTAGTAAGCTCTCAGTAGTGACTAATTAGTGACTCACAGGCTTCTTTCTTACAAGTATGCAAAAGATAATGAAGACCGCATGTTGCTGATATTTAATGAATCATATACATAGATGCTGTTTCTCACATGTTCCCTCTTAAATAAATAGAGACTTCAATTACGATGTTAATGTTGGCATTATAGCTGTTTTAAATGCTCTATTGACACTGCTTGTTGTCATCTTCAACATGCATAATATTCTGTGAACTTAGATTGGAGTTTAAAGAGGAGGTGCAGAGGAAGAAATATGAAGCAGAGACCGGATCTATGGCCGAGGAGCGAGCACGGAAAGAGGCAGAGGAGCACAGTGCTCTCATGGCATGGAACAGAGCAGAGAACCAGCGCATGCTGCAACTCAGGTCTGACTCATCAACCAGTTGTTCAATGCGTGTGTATATTATTGCTGAATCAACTTAATAATATATTGTTTTTGTTTTCAGGCTGCAGAGGGTTCAAAAGGAGAAGGAGGAAGTTGAACAAAAAGAATTTGAGGCTGCTCTTGAGCGGGAACAAAAGCGACAAGAATTTATCAAATTGAAGGAAGAGGAGCTTTTACGCTTACAGGTGCAGTACAACTTATGTTCAAATAAAAATCATATACTTAACTATTTTTTTTAATCCAATTGTATCTTTACTGTGTAGGAGGAAGCAAAACATTTCATCACACTGGAGAATTTAGATCAGAGAATTGAAGAGGCATTGGACAATCCCAAAAATTACAACTTTGCCATTGACAAAGAAGGACGGGTTATAAAACAGACTGTTCTAAAGTGATACTTTGGGTTTCAAAATTCTCCACACTGGTTTATTCACCCACTTTTTCTACTGCTTGTCCAGACTGTTTTCCAAATTTTACCATCATTTAATCTGGTTTGTAAATATGTTTTATGAGTGAACCACTCATCTTTCATAATTTCTTGTGTTTTCCGTGTTGTATAGTATAGTAGATAATGTCTCCAAACTGACCCCAATTGCCTGAGATCCTCAACTGTTTTAACTTAAGAAAAGAAAATGTAGTCATAGACAATAAAAACAAGTTCAGGTTGTCCTGGTGGGCACAGATCATCGTCTAGAACAGGAGAAGCTGCAGCTCATGTATAACAACGTGCAGATAATCCTCTGATGGGATGAAGATGATCGGGGTTAAAGGACTAGGCTCAGAGATCTCACAGCTCTCCTACACTATTTCACTATTACATGCATACAATAAAGTAATAAGTACAAGACTGGGCTCTGAATCAATAATCCAAAATAAATGGGAAATTGTATAGACCTATCTCTAGACCTTATTAAAACAAAATATTTGGTATTGTTTTAGCTGTAATACCCGGTTTAAATGTAAGATAATTTAAGATATTGTCTCGTCCCAACATTAATTATGTCATCTGAAATCTGTCTACTGGTATAATTTAAAAAAAATCCAAGAATAGATTTGGTCATTTTATTTTGTGAATCGTTTTGTTTGCATCTGCTTTATAAAAAAAAAAACACAAATACTGGAGTGTTTCCAGAGCAACTTAGCGTTGAAATAAAATAAATAAATTTACAATCAGATCATGTTACAACACTGACATGACATTGTGTTTAATGAATGCACCTTTGTGTAAATGTCATACACAGGAAAAAAAAATCAAAGTCGTAAAAAGAATATTTTGACTAGAATCTTCTGTTTTGTATAACCTCCAATTGCACACCCTATGGACTTGATAGCACTTCAAGTAAAAAAGAACACATTTCACCTGCTGTTCTATGACACCAAACTAAAACATGTTATTTATCATTATGAAATCTTGTTATTGGTCTGTCCGGGGTATTTCTCAAACTTCTTCTCTGCCTCGTCACTGAAGGCATCTCCTACAAAACAAAAACAGATTGAAAGACCCAAAGTGGATGCATGTGTTACGGCAGAGGTTGGTTTTACCCGTGTGACAATTGTGCAGCCAGATCCGATGTCCGTCGTATTTACAGTTACATCTCATGGCGTTGTTGCTGAAGTCGCTCTCTGCCACTTCATGATTTGGATTGATCACAATCTAAAAGAAAGCATATGATTGGTCTCAGGCTGAATTAGTCAAACAAATGAATCAAGTAGCGATAAGCTTTCATTGAAATTCCATATATTCATGAACACATCTCTCCTGATTTTCGCAACAGTCACAAACACACACTCATTCAGCTAAACGCAGACAAAACTGAAATGATTGTCTTTGGTCCCCAGGAACAAAGAGAGAGCGTCATCTGTCACCTACAGTCTCTCTCCCTAAAACCTTCAAACAAGGTCAGAAATCTAGGGGTAATACTGGACTCAGACTTAAATTTTAATAGCCACATCAAATCAGTAACATCAGCAGCTTTTTACCATCTAAAAAACATTGCCAGGATCAAAAACATAGTGTCTAAAGCAGACCTGGAGATTCTTATCCATGCATTTGTCTGCAGTAGGTTAGACTACTGCAATGGCCTGCTCACAGGTCTGTCCAAACAGGCTGTAAAACAGCTGCAGTACATTAAAAATGCAGCAGCTCGAGTCCTGACTAGAACCAGGAAGTACGACCACATTAGTCCGGTCCTCAGGTCTCTGCACTGGCTTCCTGTGGCTCAGAGAATAGACTTTAAAACAGCTCTGCTTGTGTACAAGTCTCTCCATAGCCTCGCACCAAAATATATTAGTGACATGTTAGTCCCATATGAACCAGCCCGGACTCTGAGGAGCACAGGGACTGGACTCCTGTTAGTGCCCAGAGTCAGAACTAAACATGGGGAGGCAGCTTTTCAGATTCATGCTGCTAAAATCTGGAACAGTCTTCCTGAAGATGTGAGACAGGCCTCCTCTCTGACAATGTTTAAAACCAGGTTAAAGACAGTTCTGTTTAACTGTGCATACAACTGAGAGATTTTATATTTTTATCTTTCTTTTTAATGTTCTGTGATAATTTATGATTTTAATGCTTTCTTGTTTTGTTCAGCACTTTGAATTGCCTTGTGTATGAATTGTGCTATATAAATAAACTTGCCTTGCCTTGCCTTGCCTCATTCACCCTGAAATATTGTACATGTTTTTGATGGGACGGGAAACTGGAGCACCCGGAGCAATCAAAGCCAGGACCGTCTTGCTATCATAGCAGTTATTCCACATGTTTCTGCCGGGGTCAACACTGCTCTGGAGACTGATTTAAATATGAAGTTTAAAATAACATTGTTTGTAATTATTGATGCTATTTTCTTCTAAAATACATATAATTCATATGCAGGTAAGCTAAACTGCTATCATTATACTATACTTAAGTAAATAAGTTAGCAATCTTTACTTACTGTTGTGCCCAAAAGATTTACAAAATTATTATTATTTTTTGCCATGTTTTTGAGATTATGATTGATAATGCAATGTGTGGATCAGGGAGCTGTTGTTTGAGTCACATCTCCAAAAAGAAAGTGAACTGGTCCCAGAGCTATTAGTGCTCACAGACCTGAAGAATGTAGTTTCCAGGTTTGACGTCAGTGATGTCGATCCACTGACAGTCGATGTCATGGCGGTACAAGTCCCAGCAGCCCACCGTGATGCCCTGGTCCCCAAAGTTAGCACACTCGTATCGCTTAGAAACTCCTGAAGAGAACAGACATTCAGATCTCTTTCCCTGTGTTATTGATGGTCCTTTAACACAGTGGCAGTCCCACCTTCTTGGCAGTCTGTGTCCTCCAGGCAGAAGCTGGCTTTGTGCCCCTCGGCCACTTTGGTGCCGTTAGAGGTCATCAGATCGTAGTGAGTGAAGATGTCCATGCTGTGGTAGTGACTGTTAAAGCAAAGGATTGCTTTAATGTTGTTAAGAGAAAGATTTGTTTAATGGATAATTCCGATGATTGGTATGAATTATTGGACAGGTGAAAGTAAGTAAGTATGGTGCGCTTGGGGTAAGTGTGAGTAAGTATGTCATACGAAATATGAAATACGTGTTTTGACACGTGAACATATAATGTAACTATTCAATAATGGAACTATTCAGATCACATGAACCTGTGAAGAGGTGGCGGGAACAAAAATGGGCAAATTAATAATGAGTTTATCACAAAAGAAAAAAGATAATTCTGATAATAAAAAGTAAGTTTACAAAGTGTAATAATATATACTCCATAATTTACCTATTATTTAATTTTTGCAAGCTTCTTAGAACTGACATTTATAGTTTAGTGAAATTATAAGTTTATAGCAAATTAGACATGAATAGCAAAGCTTAAACTGTTTTTGTTGCGTTATCATAATGGGTTTGGTACAAATGTTCTTTCTGTTGCTCTTTTTAAAATCTTTGTCATTACTAGAAGAGACAACAGTCATAGTTTAATTATCTAACCCATAGTCTCAAAAAGACATATACTACTTAAATATACAATAATAATAACGCATTGGGCGGTGAGGGAAACCAGAGCACCTACTGGAAACATCAGTCTAGACAGAAAGGTCTGGGCCGGCACGGTAACCCGCAACCTTCCCGCTGTCAAGCATCAGCACTACCCACTGAGCCACCCTGCCACTTAATAGATTAGAAATTATGATGATTAGAATTATGGTAAAAGCCCTTTTTTTATTTTACTTAAAATGAGATCACGGAGCAACAGTGGCTCAGTTGGTAGAGCATTGGCCTTTGAGCCTGAAGGACGTGGGTTCAAGCCCACCACAAGATCTACTTCACAACTCCCACTAATGTCTGCTGTTGTTATGTCCTTGGGCAAGACACTTAACCCCACTTTGCCTGAAGCCTCCATTGAACGATCAAGGCTCCTGTGCACTCACCACCTGCAGGAGGATCATTGATCATCGATACAAATGAAAACACTGCTATATTGACTTTTACCCGTGACATGCGTGCCAGACCCATGAGTGTCTCCCCGCTTTGGGCCTGAAGTCGGCCCGTCCGATGTTGTGGATCTGCGAGGAGAAGCGCAGCAGGCGACGGTGTCCGTACGGCCAGTTGGCTTGAGCTGCGGTTTTGGAAAGACAATCTTCCTCCGCTGCACAGTACAACATGTGCAGAGGCCGATCCTCGATGTACACGGTCTGCTGGACCAGGGGCGCGTTCAGGATCAGGTCTGACGCAGCTGGAAAGTGTATTTACAGAATTACTCTTCCTTTTTAAACCACATGATTTAGTTAATTTAGAGTACAGGAAAATCATTTGTGATAAAAACGTCATATAATCATGGGCCCTTTTGATAGATAGATTTTTAAAAAAGTATCATTCTAAAAGCTAACAATATTAATAATCAGCAACAGCAGCAGATGTGGAGTAGCCATTGGGTTTAATGTTTAGATAATAATGCTAAAAATATATAAACTTAATGAATTATATAAACAGTCGCTTTTTTATGCGAGGTATTGGTATTGTTTAGAATAATACATTTTAACATAACCCCAAAACCCCTATGATGACCTATAAGTACATTTTCCTAAATATCTACAACTTCCAGAATAACAAGCGTCATGCCACTGCCCTAATACTCTTCATCACGTGTGGGTGTGTGCACTCACTCTCAGAGCAGATGACTCCAGCGGCGAACTTGGCTGCGGTTCTCTGGCAGCTCACGGTTTTGTGATGCTGACACTGACTCAGAGATAACTCGTTACCGCTGCACTTGACTCCACTCAGTACCATCTCTGTCACGTTACTGCCGTCCCAATACCACGTTTCCTTCAGGACACATTCAACAGACGCACAAGGGAGGAAACAGGGATATGGTCAGATAAATCAGGGTCACAAGAAGCTGCACTGAGCTACTTTATTCTTTCATGTCATGGCTTTGTCTCAAGGTTCCATCAGTTCATCCAGCCATTTATTTCATTAAGTGTGATTTGTTGTGTGGCTTTTGCTCAGAGATGGTTCTACGGATTGCTTGTCCACAGATCCATGATTCATAAGGCACTGAGCAGGCAAAGACAAAAAGAAATGCCATTCTTAATGGATAACTTCTAGACAAAGATTTAACAAGATGTCCTGATGCAGACAAAACCTACAGGTTAAAGTGTGCGCAATAACAATTTTAGCCTGTATGTTTTATTATGTCTTAAATGAATGATAGAAAACTATGAAATTCATTTATTCTTCTGAGAGCAAAGTCTTAAACTCTAGAATCTGGTCTTTTATTAGTGGTGGGAACAAATAATTTTTTGGTAAAGATTTAGAACTTCTACAAAGATTTTGAGAGTCTTAAGATATTTTTAAACCTGGACCCATTTTGAAAGAAAAAACATAGATACAGATTCAAGCAGCTCAAGCATTTAAATGAGGTTGTATCTGTTAAAATACCGCAGACTAGAATGATTCAAAACTCAAACAAAAATGATCCCAACCAGCCAGTTCTTTATAAGTAAGGTCTAGAGACGTACAATCTTGTATATCACAACTTAACTATATCAGTTTTTGTTATTTCAGTTTAATTAATCTGTGAATTGTCCAATGATCGATCTGCTAAACAGCATTATCCACCACAATACAACGTGAGGTGGACCCTTTGCGATCGGCCTATACTCACAGTGATTGCATGCATGGAGTAGCCAAGCCCTAGCTGCCTGCAGACCACCATGGCTTCTTTAGTGGTCCATCCCGTGCTGCAAACCGTACCCCACTTAGAGCCGACCTGAACCTCCACTCGGCCCTCGTACCCGCTGCGTCCGCCCACTATCCGGATCTGCACAGAGGCCCTGCGGGGAGTCAAAGGCTGCCCCGTCTGAGACCTGTCTGCTGGGTAATAACACTGTGTAACACACTCCAAAAGCGGTTACAGTAAATCAACGGCAGCGGCGGTGGCGGCGACGAATGAGTGGTTAGTCTGATTTTTTTTTTTTTTTAGAGGAAACTACGTCGAGGTTTCCACATGAGGTCACCGCTCTGGGCTGTGGTTTAGTTTGATTAGAAAAGAGGTGTTTCCACATGGAATGTGACAGTGTAGCCATGGGAAAGAGACAAGCAACTAGTGTTATGACTACTTCTACTATTATTACACATGCATAACTGTTAGAGAGCAAACCACACATGTACTTACCTTTTAGAGGAAGATCATGTTTCTAGTGCACTATTGTATTTTAACATGTTAATATTACATACAATTCTGTAGAAGCATTCATTTGGGTATCTTTCATTCTGTTCAGTGGAACTGCTAGGAGTTTGTCAGGGTGATTTCCTACTTAAATCCCATTATTTCTTCTATTTACTTTTCCCTATTTTCATATTCTGTATATACAAAGGTTTTGGTCTGTTTTTGTATTAGTTTCATTTCAGTTGGAAACAAGTCAAAGCGGGAACATATGGGGTAAAAATGTGCACCCTCGACTTAATAATTGTTAATTGAAACTTTTTTTTCATTGGATACCTGAGTATAATGGCATTGTGCAAAATTTACAAATTCAATTCATTAATCACTATGTTTTTAATGTATTTTCTAATGTGTATGATTTATTTTATACATATATATTTCAGGCTTTTTGACAGTTCAGGTGTAATACAGCCATCCTAGAACTGTGCTAAAGATCTATTGCCACTAAACTAATGGATTGATCTCTTTCTGACCTTTTATAACTGATGAGATGAAAATTGAAAGTAATAGATACCGTGTATAATAACTGCATACCGTGTATAATAACTGCATAAATACCTCCTGCTACACTGGTTGATTTGTATAAGCCTTTTGGATAAGGCTGGGGACCTACTTGGTTAGCCTGGCTGGCGTAGCCGAGCCCCAGCTGCCTGCAGGCCACAGTGGCCTCTCTGTTGCCCCAGCCTTCTCCACAGACCAGGCCCCAGCTCTCGGTGTCGTTAGCATCAGAAAGGAGCAGCTCCACACGGCCCTCGTACTGCGTCCTGCCCCCCGAGAGGCGGATCTGTGAGGGTCACACACTACAGCAACACATACTGTACCTCTGAAATAAACACTCCACAGGTAACTGGGTCAGTCGGGGAATTTAGCTGTATTATTTCTGCTTTCTGAATCCCCACACATCAATTTTAATGTTTTAACAGCAATATAATTTGAATAGTTTGAAAAGGTTAGTTCTAGTTTTTAAATTTCCCGTAACACGATATCTGTATGCATCTACAGACACGGATTCTTTTTTTTTTCTCCATAATTCATCAATCAAAACTCAATCAATCCATTAATAAAAGCAGGACAACAGCGCCATCATGCTGTCTTCACAGCAGGTGAGTGAGAGAAATATTCAAGACATAATTATGCATATATGCATATAAATGTATATACATATATATTCAAATAGTGTTTTTGTTTTGACTTTAAAGGGCTAACCCTTATAATTTAATCATTTTTTCACAAGAATTATTCTAGTGTTCAATCTACTCTCTATTGATGTGTTACTAAGTACACTGTTTTTATTCACTGTATCAACTGATTAGACTGTTAGTAAAAACGGCGGCAATAGAATAGAGAGAAGACTAATAGAAGACTAATAATAATGCAGAGAAAGAAAGGTCAGTCTGACCGCGTTCTCCAGGCCGAGGTAGGGCGTGTTGCAGCGCACAGCGGCGTCCTCCGTGTGCTTGCAGTCTTCAGACGTGATGTTTTTAAACGGACAGTTCCAGATGGACTTCTCTGTCCCAGCACACTTCACCTCGTTCATGTAGATTGGACCCATCCCTGAAAAAATATCAAGATAGATTTTGATTTAGTTGGAAAGGGAGCTACCTACAAAATGCTTAAATTAGCTAACTCTGGTCAACGAGTCAGATCTATTTTCATACCTTTGCTTGTGCGAATGAAAATAAAAGATTATGAACATGTGGAGGAGAAAGACTGATGCCTTTAGCATAGAATAAATAGCAGAGGCAGAGAGGTGTAGGGTCAGAGAGTATTTGTCATGTTGAAGAAGATGACATAGTCTGGGATCGCGTCTTTAATTCAGACAGAAGACATGTTTTATTGTCGATGGTAGAGACAGCACGAACAAAGCACACGATCACAGAAACAATAGAATGCAAGTGTATTATACAGAGCGGAGGCATGGAGACCTCCAATCAGCAGCTTCTACGGTGTGCTTGTAGCTTGGCCTTCAGATAGTGTTATGAAATCTCACAATGTGTCATGTCTGAGTTTGTGTGTGTGTGTCTTTTCCTTGTGATATTGTATTGTGCTACTGTTCTACACCATTGCTTTTGTATTGTTACTTTTTGAAGATTTGCGCTACTTGTTTGTTTGATAGGGTGAAGGGCCGGTTTGCTTCATCAACTCCCCTTTTCAAAACTGTAAGGTGGACTCATCCTGGTGATCACTTTACCTCTTGGCTGTAGGTAATAATACTACTTTATTCAGATTATAAAAGCAGAGGATGGAATGGAAAATAACTCATAAATCACAGCATTTCGTAACGCTGCAGTTTGACCAATGCTTGATTTCTGCACAGTCATGTTTGCAGAGCTGTGTCCAAGAGTGAGACATTCCAGGTCAGGTTCCTCTTTCACTCGATGGAATTATGCAACTTGACTGAAAGGAATTCCTTCAGCCACAGATGTTTGACTCTGGTGACGGTTGGGAACGCTTCGGGCCTAAACGTGCTGTGATCACATCCGCATTTGCACAGAGAAAAGTTCTGTGAAGAGCGTCTTCTGTGGTGGAAATGTTCAAACACAGGTGAAGTGTCCACACCCCATTTTCCCAGAACCTGACTATAAGACACTGTTTATCCCAAATGCACTGGTTCTTTCATTCAAACTCTGCACAGTGTGGACCAGCCAACTTTCCCATTATAGGTCATTTATCATGTTCACCATTCATTCAGACTATTTCCCCTTGATGTTTTACTGGAAATGAGATGTTAGTAACTACAAGATAAAGAAGTTCTGTAGTTGTGTAAGAATACAAGTGCTTCCATTCTAGAGGTGATCCGGATCATCGTCTGGATACTGAATTTTTTTTAAAGGAAAATTGCTTCTTGGCAGATGTCTGCGCTCTTCTAGATGTTTTAAAATGTTAACTTGTTTTTGTCTCTCTGTTTTTTGAAAGTCAGTTTTGTACCATATGTCCCCCTTGAAATGACTGAGATTATTGTTTATGTGACTCGTGCATTGACCTTGTCCCATGCGTGCCCCGGTCAGAGCCTCCTTGGCGCTCCCGAATCCCAGCTCTCGGCACACCACGCTGGCCGAATGCAGGTTCCAGCGGTCGTCACACACCGTGCCCCACTCTGAGCCTTTCAGCACCTCCACACGGCCCTCGCCCACCCGCGCTCCTCCCTTCAGCCGCACGTTCATCTAAACACACACATAACATAGGACTTTCATAATAATATACTTCAACATATGGGAAAATAAGCAGCTTTCTCAAGAATTATATGGGACAACAGTTACTTATGTCGTTATGCTGTTAAAGTTATTCCTCTTTTTTATATTTTTAGTAAAACATAGTCTTTCTGTTGTTATCCCATATAGATCCCGTATACTTTATTGATCCCGTAGGAGAAATGCAAGTGTCCAGCAGCAGAAACACATCCATCCATGGATCTACAATTTTGTTAAACAACTTGTGTTTTACTTTTTAATGTTTTAATGCTGTAAATAATGATTAGCGTGAGCACCAAACTACGGTTTTATTTTGTCCCAATTAACTGCCTCACACCATTTACATGCATCTTTGAGGCCGTTATAAAGGATTTAGATACAGAAAATTCCATATCAATTCAGAATCCAGACACAAGCACTATAACAATAAGTTTTTGTGGTGGTATAACATTTCCATAACAATTGTTTTTTGTGTTTTTTGTATTTTCATATTTTGTGCAGAAAATATGTACTACCACTACATAAATAGGATACCACAATTTGGTGAAGACAATGTCACTTAGCAATAATTTACCGATGTTTTGAGCTTCTTTTTGAGGCCAGAGTTTTGCATGAAGAGTGGTCCGGGCATACAGCTGACCACGGCCGCGGCGCCCTCACAGCTGACGGTGGCGTTGGGCTTGCTGAACTCCAGGGGACAAGCAGCGAGATGCACCTCTGTCCCAGTGCAGGCCACCGAGTGCACATGGTAGTAGCTCTTCTGACGCTCCAAATACAGCCTGCAAAGAACAACAGGCATTCATTGTGTATCTGAATATGAAAGTAAAGTTTTGTCGACTTAAATGTGTTATACTGTAAATTGGAAGGGATTATAACGACCAACATATTTTTACCTTTTTTACAGCAACTGAAAGTACAAATTTGAACATGATTTGGTCCCATTATAAAACAACTCAATTAAATGAATGAACAGATCTCACCGTCCACTTTTCAATTCCATCAAAAAGCAGACTCTCAACAAACTCCAAACGTATAATAATGCAAGTTACAGTAGATTAACAATAACACGTGTCAAGTTTTTTGTTCAGAGCAAATCTGTATTTTGAGCATATTCATTAGATTATGACAAAAATAATATGCTCTTGATTTGTCTCTAAAAGGTCTGGTTACCTTTTGCCAACAATGCTTGGTTTAGTGTTAACTTTAGGTTTGGGTGCTGGCCTGTAAAGTAAACAAGAGGTGAAAAATAAAATAACAGTACAACAGCAAAAATTATGTATATTTAAAGGTGCACAATGTCACTTTTATGGTTCAGGGTCCAATGTTATTGCTGCATGTTCCACAATAGGACAGTAGATGTATTCTTAGTTTATTCAAATATAAGTGGTATTGAACTGTAACTGAGCAAACGCATGTGGAATCAGAACCCAAACAATTTACCTCTAAATGCGTGAATATTGTGTGCTAGTGTCATAAGTCTAGACACTGTTTGGGAAATGCAGCTGCACTGAAACTTTGTCCATTTGTGGGAGTGGAAAAAGCAAAAGCTGAAGATGATACAAGGCAGTGATTCTCAAGCACTTAGGTTAGCTCTGACCTAGCCTGGCCTTAGCCATCCGTAAACTCTTTTATTATTATTATTATTATTTCCCTACATGTATGAAATTAAATTTGTGCGATGGTGAGACCAGGCTAGCTCTGACCATAAAAATCTAACATTGTTTTAATCCCATCTAGAACAATCAATGTATGATGTAACGACTGTATGAGGTGTACATTTTGTGCCGCAGTTTACTTAACTTCACTTATGTATGTCATGCATGTCAAATTCTGGCTTGCGGGCTGGTTTTGAGACCCTGAAATTATTATTAGAAAACTACTTTTATACATTTGGCCCTGGACCAGCTCTACATTTTCAATTTGCCCCCCCTTGATTCGTATACAAAAGTGCTATAGGATAAATGCAGTGTTTGTGAAGCAACTGTCTAAGCTACAAACTACTCATGCTCTGTTCTGAAATCCATTGTCAGACTGCTCAGACGCGAGCAGGACGATGGGTTTCCGTTCGCACTGTACCTTCCATTCGACACAATGTTAACCTTTGACCTGGACACCTTCACAGCCGCACGTTTTTTGAGACGTCTGCAACAGCGAGACGCACACAATCATCACACAGAGGTGACAGACCAAAGGCAAACACGGGAAGTGCATGCATGCGGACCGGCACATAGGCACTCACTCGTGTGCTCAAAACTATGGAGTCAACAGAATGACGTAATGCAGTCTCTGGCCATTGATAGTGAGTTACGACTTTTATCATCATCGCTTACTTGGTTGACTGCATCACATACTCACAATACTCCTTCAACATTAGGGGTGTAATTAATGAACACTTTGATGATCGATTAGATGGCCAATGATTCTTTGTTGTTCCAATCCCAAAAGGTCAGTGAGTATGGGATTGAAGATGTCTCTATGAGGTTACTTTGAAACATTTTAATTTCATTCTGCAGTCATTATAGAATTATCTGCGCCATATAACTTTGTCTCAGCATGTTTAAGTCTAAGTAAGAACAAAAAAGCAAAAAGTATTATTAAACAACTATTTTAATGATCGATTAGTAGCGATTAATCTATTCACTTGTTAGATTCCTATATGAATTATTCGTTTTTTTTCCTGTCTTGCATTGTGTAATTGGACCTGGGCATATATGCGTGTCTTTAGTTATAAAAAATAAAACTGTTACGGCATGTATCTGATGGGTTGGTGGCTGTATTATTAATCAAAATAAACAAATTTGCCTTTAAAATATACTGTAAGTGATATATTGCTCCACGTGGCATATTGGATACACTTGAATAAGAAATGTTTACTTTTCATAGCAGTCGTCTCCTTGGTTACAACTTTTTCACACTCAATAGAAAAGATTAAGTAAGAGCTGGTGTCGCACATCTGCAGAGCATCAGTCTGGAGATGGACGAGGAATATGTTGTACACCGTGTCCTGGACTTGGAGAATCTGGAGAGTGTGAACAGGAAAGGACCACTAAGCTATTGCATAATGTAAATCTGATAATATGTAAAGCATCTTTGAGTGTCCAATAAGCACTAAATAAGTTTAATGTATAATTATTAATGTGGTTAGTAAATAAAAAAAAGCCTCATTTTATTTCCAAAGATAATGTCTGTTTAAGTGTCATTGTCCACAGGGATGTAAAGCAGACAGCAGCGAACTCTAAAATCAGTCTTATTTAGACAGCTTATCTTCTGCCTGGATTGTTGACCCTGGAGTCTGTTTATCAGGTCATCAGAAATAATAGTTGACACCCAAAGTAATACCAAAAATATGATTGAAGACAGTTAAAATAACTTAATTGGACAAGTTTTATAACACTGGGTCATATTTCTAAGCAAACCTGTGAATTTCCCAACGCGTAAATTTGGTCCCTGCCCTCCATTTGAAAGGAAAACGTGTCTCTGAACCCATTGAAGATCTAAAAAGCGTTATTCATTGCTCATTGACAAGATGACAAATAAGATTGCAACCCATAAACAATATTTTTATACACTCGCAATCTTAGACAGACAGCTGTTTATGAAAGCGTTGGACTCACTTGTAGAAGTTCTTGTTGACTTTCCTCTCGTGTGGGAATCCCAGCATGCCACAGACCACACGGGTGTTTTTGATGGTCCAGCCCACATCACAGACCTGCGCCCAGCCGTCCTTATACCGCACCTCCACCACTCCCTCGGTGACAGGGCGCTTCTTCTTGGCCATGTTCACCACCGGACGCAGCCGCACCTCCTCGATCCTAGTCTCATCCACCTGGGCCTGAGCATTAAGGAAAGACGTTATAGTTCAGCTACAAAGTTATTCTAAAGTGTTTTCATATTTACAGATAGAAGCTAGGTCAAAGACCTGGACCACAACAGTATCTATATATATTAGATGATTTAATGATCAAATGTGGCATAAGTGTGAACTCATCTGATATGGGAAGATTCTTTGCAGCAAATTGGCTTCTGCTGGAGGTCCTCAATTGTTTATAGCTTGCTTAGAATGTACCTCATCTGTACAAATGTTATTTTTACAGCACCAAAACTTGACTTCTTATAATAAGTAGACCCATTCAATTCAATTCAATTCAATATATTTTTGTATATCCCTAAATCACATCATCAGTCGTCTTGAAGTTGTCGCCCATTCAATTCAATTCAATTCAATATATTTTTGTATATCCCTAAATCACATCATCAGTCGTCTTGAAGTTGTCATGAGAGAGTTAAACAATTTGAACAAATAATAACAAACACATAGGAGCCATTGGTTCATAGTTTAGTGAGATGACCAATGTTCATAAATGTAAATACATTTGCATAAAATCTGCAGTCATTATGACCTGTAACCGAGTGATGACACGAGTTATCCAATGTAGATAACTGAGTTTGATAAAACACTGTGTGAAAATTTACAGACAACACAAAATAACTGGTTATATTCTCTGCTTTTTCCCCGTTCCTAACACTGATTCTTAAGGGCCTGTTGAAAATTGTTATCCTATTTTTTTTATATTATAATACCTCAGTTAAAAGACGAAAACAATAATTGAATTGTCATGAATAACATTTATGACAGAACTTCTGAATAACACTGTATGTACAAGTATCTGTAACCTGTACTGCAAAATGTGGGGGTGAAATTGTGCTATGTCCCTGCAGTAGACCAGGCCGGATCCAACATTTGTAAATGCATTTTAAAGTCGGAGTAATAGGGGGATTGTGGGTCTATTGTGTTACGTAGTGCTCGTTTGTGGTAAACGTGACTATCACAGTCTGCTGGCTTCACCATGACTCACTTCCACTGCGGTTTTATTTGGAAAAAAGTCCTGGCTTCAGTTTCAGGGTCATGTCTGGACGCCACATTTCAGCGACACATAGACAGCAGCAGAAAAGCTATTTTGAGAAATGATGATTTGAACAGTCAACCTTGCAAAATATTGCATTTAAAGTGCGAAGATCTCTTATACATAATCTTTGACCATCTGGGAAAAATGCTGTATTAGTATAACACTTATATATAGTGTATTTCAAGCACACAATGAAAAATATTCTCTGCTACTTGAAAAGGAGTGGGATTAAATTTAACATACCCAGCCCATAATTATCCCTATTTATAATGTTTCTGATTTGTTGTATATCTGGACATTCCTTGAGCTGTGCATTTAAGCTGTTTCCCTTATACAGAAACACAAAAACTTTTCTTCTTACTGTGTACATATGAAAAGTCATTTTCCTCTGTGTAAACCACTTATGTACATTTTGAGGTAAATCATAGCATTTTGCCCAATACAATCTTAATATCTCAGTCATTTGGATTTATAACCCGCTCCAAGGATGACTCTTAAAGCTCTCGTCTGTAAAACCCTCCATATTTGTATAATCAATGCAGAGCAAATTGAACGAGAATACTGTTAAATAAATATCTTAAAATGTATGGACCAAACTGGCTGCGGTCACGTGAGACAATAGATGAGTTTTGTCAGAGGCCTTTTCCATTCTCTATAAATAAACACAGTATAGTTAACCAGGAGCAGATGTCCCTCACTGAGCCATTTTACATGCCAGTGGTTCAGACTTATAGAGAGCATAGGCACAGCATCCACGCTGCCGTTTATGGTCTTGTAACAATAATGACATAACAACTGTGAAGTCATGAACTAATAATGTGTCTATAATATGTGTTCCTTTTAAATGCAAGTGTGTAATGCATATATGAATCCAAAGGGAAAGATAATAGTTGGGAAAACAGTGAAATATTGCCACATGTCACTTTTTTTGTGCAGAGATCTGGATTTGTACTTGTCTCTCTTTGGTAACTTACATCAATGACGTTTGAGTCCACAAAGCCAGGGATCCTCTCGTCTTTGCACACCACCCCAGCGTCTTCATCGTGGGTGCAGTCGCTGTTTCCCCAACCACGAGATTTACAATGTTCTATGCCCTTCTCCCCTCCGTTACAGTTCACGTTGTCTAGCCAGATTTTACCTGGAGGAAAAGTCAGATATTATAGGTTTTGAATGAAATATTTCTGGTTGAAGAAAGTGAGACATAATTAAAGCTGGGGCACCTAACTTTTTCTCATAAATAGTAAATTTTTGTTTCAACAAAAACAGTCAAACAAAAGTAAAATGTTGTGAATGAATGAGACCACAACAAGCTGTCTTCATCTTTTTTTTTGCATACTGCATGATTATCTGAGCGAGGTTGGTCCTTTCATATACACTATTCTGTCTGAAAAGGCAGATGTGACTGACAAATACACATGCACATGCAAACTAGAGATGGAACCAAACCACAATTTTTCAAGTGGATTTAAACCAATCTCACCTTCACCTTCAAAATGTAATTATGCATTTATAGTGAACCAAACCATGATACATCTACTTATGTTTGGACAGATCTACTTGCCCCCTTATCTTTGGACAGATCTACCTTGGCCCTTGCCGTACTTGGCGCTGTGGGCCCATCCTGTGGCCTCGACAAAGCCCATTTGTCGACAGAGGACGTTGGCGTTTTGAATGGAGAAGTCGTCATCACAAATGGTGCCCCACTCGCCCTTATAGAAGAGTTCCACGCGGCCCTCGTTGTGCTTTCGGGGATATCCGGTCATTCGGACCCGGAGCCGGTCAGCAGGAGTGGAGGAGGGGGCGGGGGATGTGGGGGGTGCAGGTGTGGTTTGACACAAGTGGGATGGTAGTAAGAGGCAGAGGAGAAGGAGGGACAATGATGACCGATGCTTGGATCTGTCCATTGGCATCGCTGCACAAAGAGATGAAAACACACACATTTAACTGATGTGACAAATTTGGCAACTCAGACCAGATTAGACTGAGATTTATTTCATCCAGGCTTTGAACTGTCCAAGTTGATACTATGGGAAAATACAGGTTACAAGTAAAGACATGTGTACAAATGGGATAAGTTTAAGTTTATTCATGCTTGCAGTCTGATGCATTTACATAAAAATCTGAGAATTATGAAAGCACTAAATTGGTGATGTTGTGTCTGACATTACAAAGTCCTATACTTGAAATTATTATTACTTCATGAGGAAAAATGGAACTCAGTTTGTGACCAAATAAAGCTCATAAGACTTGTGAGACCAAAACTACATTCTTTTACATCTTTCAGTATTAAAAAGTGGTAAAAGAAGAAGCTCTTCTTATTTTAGCCGCAATGATAGATGTGAATAAGCGGAGTCGTCACAGTGCAGTGAAAGTATGCAGCGCACATGGAGCTGATGAAGAGAGGTTGATTGAAGACAGCTGCTTCTGTTATATGAGCGTCAATAACACAGTGATATAAGTATTACAAATACATAATGTGATCGTTATAACAGAATAGAGTGCAAGGCAGTTGTTCACAAAACAGCCATAATAATAATAACAACAACAATAATGATGATAATAATAATAATGCAAGGGTTTTACACAGCGCTTTTTTGACACTCAAAGGCGCTTTATTCATTCACTCCATACACGGTGGTGATAAACTACTACTATAGCCACAGCTGCCCTGGGGCACACTGACAGAAGCGAGGCAACCAGTATGTGCCATCATCTCCTGCAGCCACCACCAACCATTTACACACACACCAGACTTATTCTAGGTATTATGGGTGAAGTGTCTTGCCTAAAGATACAACAACAGTTTGGCACTTTAAAGCCGCAGCTGCCCCACCGTGGCACCTGGTGTTCCCAGAGGTCTCCCATCACAGTCCTAACCAGGCCCTGCCTTTCTTCGCTTCATAGGTCTGACGGGATCTGACTATCGCATGCAGGTACGGCCACATTTCAGGTCATTTCAGGTCAATAATGTGCGAGAAATCCTTTATGGATTAAGATTTTTTGCTTAGATTTTGTTTAGTGGTGTGACCGTAATATCAGAAATGTGAACGACAAAGTAATAATACTAAAATAAGATTAAAAAAACATCTTTGCAAAAAATGGGCACTTAAGTTCTGAGATATGGTGTCAGCATCCAATCTTGAAGTTTTTAGAATAAATTCACACATTTACAGAATGATAGTAAATGTAAGCATTATATACCATAGTAATAAGTTATTCTCTGAGGTCCAAATACCCAGAGTTTGTGTGGGCGCTCAGTGACCCATGAGACAGACGTGTCAATCAAAGCCACATACCAGACCTCTAATTTACCATCACGTTTGAAAAAATGAGCCAAAACAAACTCTAGAAAGAGCTTTCCATTTAGTATGATTAGAATTAATAGCACAGTGTGTACAGTGAGGAAAAGTAGAACTCATAGACGTCCCATTGAGGCTGTTGTGGAGGGGACAGGGCTGGTCAGACACAAATACAGTAGTGCAGTATGTTACAGGAGCCATGGACTGCCTTTTCAAAAACATGTGTCCCTCTGCATGTCACACTGAGAAATCACACCCAATGAATGAGATTATGGACTTAAACTGCACTACAGGGAAGTGCATGTTGTAACATCTACTCACATCTGATCATTTCCACGGGTAGCCCACCAAAGAAATCATAAGTTGATTAAAGAATTGCCTGATATGATCAAATAGTCAAAAAAAAGGAAGTAGTGGACATTATCAATACAGTTTAATCCAAATAATGCTTCACATATGTTGCTACTACTACTGCTACTTCTACTTCCTAGGCCTACAACTATGTCTTTTGAGCTGATTCCATTTACAGCTGAGAATATATTTGGCATACATTTTCAGATTTTGGGGAGCAAGCCTCTGTTTTCTTTAGCATTCCTGACATTTTTCATTTGATCAACATTTAGTTAACCCTCCATTGAGACTGGCTACTGCTCATTTTAACAGCAAGTGCCTAATGTTTAATACTAAATTAAATATAACAGTTATTGTCTTTGTAACATACTTTTGTTATAGCACTGCTGGTCTATTGTTTCATTAGTTCAATGACTCATTTTCATAGTTTTGTGGTGGGAGGAATTTATACATAAGACATGGTTGAGCTTTTACAAACATCTGTCATTGCACTTAAGACCACTCCATTGTTCAACCCTTTTTGCCTTTAGTTTTATTATATCTTTATTGACATTGTATGCTGGCTTTTGTGAGTATTAAAACTGTATACAAAAACACACATTATGAGGTCAGTCCACTATAAGCATATAAACATTACAATTAAGACGTTTCAGATCATGTCCTTGTTGTTCACAGATACAGCCATAGGTTTCAATTCAATAATTAAGGTAGATTATTCTGAACTAAATCTCTCTTACCTTGTCTTTCTGTTTGATGAGGTTATAATGGCACCAATGGAGAGTGGGGAGCTTCAGTGAAAAATATTGTCTGCAACTAAACCTGCAGCACCCAAAAAAATAGATAAAAAAATAATGATGGATCCACCGGTCGTGTTAATGAGAGCATCTAAAGCCTGGGTTCAGTGTGAGGCCAGCGAAAGCCAATTAAAGTGAGTGAGGTCTGGGAAGAGCCAGCAGAGGAGCCCGGGGAGAGGGGAGAGGGGAGGGACCGGGGCGGGCGCCGGAGGAGGACCCGAACACTGTCTCTTTCATGGGGCTTCCATAACACGTGTAGTTTGGACTAAAAATACACGTAACAACCTGTCATGGTGAGATCTGAAAACAGGAAGCACTCAACGAATCCCGTGTATATAAGACATTATATAGAAATGCATTAAAGCCTTCGTTAGGGGCTTCAAAGTCTACATTAGCTGCTTCATGATGCACAGGGTCACTAGAGCTACATCACATTTTCTTTGCTTGTTTATTCAATTATTATAAGATCCATTGAACAAAAACAATTCGTATGTGCCAAAGAAGTTTATTTTACAAAAAAGGTCCATATGAAAATTGAATACAAATGTTGTTTCACAGAGAAGTGCAGATATAAACAGGCACTTTTATAAACATCCAACAGACGATTCTTCCATTGATGGTCCCCTTGTCTATTTAAAACATCTTTCAATGTGCTTTGGGTTCAATTTGAGCTTGATTGTCAACAGTAGTGAAGCATTAATTGCGTCTCAAACACGCAATATGAGATTAAATTTCAACAGTTTCATTTATTCAATAATTTGTTCAGTCATAAAAATCCAATGTAGCAAAGTAGAGACATGGTGTATATTCCACTAGTTTACAATGCTCCTGGTAAAAATCAATTAGTTAAAAGTAAAATATTGTTTAAAGCATACTGAATGTCATCAGCTATTGAAATAGTAGAATCCAGCCACAACAAATTATGGTTAAAATAGGACGCAGTCATGAAATACAGTAACATATGACCATCTTTGGACTTTTCAGATACGGTCACATGACTTCTCCACTTAAATATTGTCCCTACAGTACATTCAGATAACAAACAGAAGATCTGCCTGTGTCTCAGGTTAAATGAAACTCAAGGCCATCAGAAAGAAATGTGTGACACAAACTTTGGTTCACAGTTTGACCACAGCAGCTGCTCCTGCTCTTGTTTAAGAAACACTTTGACTTTGTGCAAACAGAATCTGATCTTGGGCAGATCAGTCAAAAGTGCTCAGTGTCTACAGCATGGACAGGTGAATGTTTCATTCACAAACTTTCATTCACAAACTTTCAAGAGTTTCAGGGTGTAGAAGCTCTAGCAGCGCTCCCACTGCACCAAAGTACCCCTGTAACAGAACACATGAAGCTTTAAACGAGTTATAAAACATGATCATGGTTGAAGTTTATCTGAACAACACTGACCTCATGTCGCAGGAACAGTGCCTTGAGTTGTCCTTTAGACCAGTAGTCCATGGCGTAAGCCAGCAGCTTCATGGAGAGAGTGTTCACCCTCAGGAAGTTCCCCACAAACACCACACGCTCAATGTTCTGAACAAAATGCATGAACACATTTTACAACAGGCTTATTATCACGAATCAGTTTATCTGATCCAAACATGAATAACTAAAGAGCAGAGTATGTTCAGAATAGAGTGGACGGCAGATGGAGCCCTGCTCCGCCTTCATAGCCCTGTACAATGCTGCTTGATCATGACGCCACAAGGCAGCACCGTAAAGAGGCTGAACACAGAGAGGAATTATTCCACTTGACTGGCTCCTCTCAACAGACTCCATTCACATCCTTCCATCACGGCAAAGTCTCAAAAAAAGGCATTCAGCTCACAAACAAAGGGGACAAGCATACACTCAGCAATATTAATAACCACAGGATTTATCAACATCTAAAAGAAGAGACATGTTATGTTTCAGCTCTGCCTCACCGACCTCGTTGAGAGCGCACATTCGGGTGATGGAGCCGATGTTATTGGTGATGGTCACCAGAGTGGCCCGCGCCAAGTCCTCTTTGGAAACAGACTCCCTTTTCTCTTTGGACATCATGTTGCCAAAACTGAGAGCCACACAAAGCCCCCCTTTAATATGCAATTTTTAAAAATGCTTTATATAAATGGTTATCAAAAGAAATATTTTAAACAGTTGAAATACAATGATCAGGGCAATGTCATATCTATACAGTGACTACTCAAACATGCTTGAATAACTGACAACTCCAAATAAAAAATAATAAGGAGATTAAAAAGAATGATAACAAGATTGAGTACCTGGAGGCCACAGCGAAGCCCGGCAGCCCAAATCGCTCATAATCGCCTCCGTAAATGTCCCGCACCAGTTTGTCCACTCGCGTGCTCTCCCCTTCAGATGCCATTTCTAAAGCTTCTTCGAAAGTTGAGCAGCCGGTCAGTAGACAGCACAGGCCCAAGAAAGTGCCACCGCCCAGACTGTAAAGCAGAAAAAGAGACCAAAACTAAACAAAATGTCCTCCGTGAATTAAACTGTACACTTGTAAAAACATCGGCTTCCACTGACTCTCAAATCAAATAAACTAGTCTTGCGTTTCTTTCTGTGCACAAAGAACAGAGGCCCATTATGCCAAAAGAAAATCTCAGCATTCACAGGTCTCTTTTGAAATCCGCTCGACTGAGAAACCACCCATGAGAAACCAGGCAGTGGAAAAAGTGGAGAAAAACACCTCACAACCATCGCTTCAGCAAATTTAGATTCAGGCTTGAGTAACATTTTGTCTCCAACTGTGACTGTGAGTAGAGAAAAGGCCTTTGTCACAAGTAAACCAAAAAATGTGTCCGCTCTTCACATGTTGGTAAGAACACAAGACAGCGGCAAGACGTCGCCTGTTTGAAAAAATCAATTTGCACCGAGTGTCTGAACATTTCGGAGTTCACAGGGGTCGCACCGGAAATGTTGTGAACAGACGGTAACATTGTGGTGATATTTAATTTGGGCACAATCATAACAGCCATTAATGATGAAGAACATTATATAATTATTTAATAAGAATATTATATGATATCAAATTTGTATGATTATTATTATAAATTAAAAACAAAGAACATTAACAAGAAGAATGAGTTAAGTGAAGCTGAAGCTTACAGAATAATAGCATATATTTGGCATCTGTAACATGTTTAGATTCTCTCCAGACAAAAAAGTCACTCACTCAGCCAATGAGCTCCCAAATAATGGGTTCTTTCTTACAGGTGGACAGCATGACGTGGTCTGACAACATATCACAAGTTATGTACCCGAGCAATAATGTACTTTTTGTATTTATTTTGTATGTTTTTGTTTTGTTTTTTTAACCTTTTTTGTCTTGTGGGACAATACCAGCTTATACAAGAACTACCTGGTTTTGAAAGCTTTAGTATCTGATTTCCCAGACCTACTACAACTCTGATCTGAAATTATTTGAAACACCTTCGTTTTAAAATCTTCACGTAATGGCGACCTGAAACCCCCTCTCATCTTTGCGGCATATTTACCTGGTCCCAGTGACTCGTTTGTAGTTGGTTTCGGAGTAAACCGCCAGGAAGCTGACCCCAGACCCGATGTTGACCAGCAGCAGTGGGTAGGGGTTCTCCAGGGGGTAGGGCCTCTCCGCACAGCGCTCCGGGTCGGTAGGGTTTTCAAAGTAGTAACATTCTCTGGGCATCACCGAATCTATGTACAACACTCCACGGATCAGGCAGTCCAGCTCATCCAGTTTGTGCAGCTCCAAATCGGCCATCTGAGGAAAAAGATCCACGAGAGGAGGGGCACAAGGGCAGGAAACAGGAGGGGGTATGAAAACAGGAAGTGACTGACAATGTAACACTACATCCACTCAGAGAATAAGAAATAATAAGAAAATCAAGTGGTCCGTTCCCATAAAGATTTTGATTATACTGTATCTTTTTAGAACATTTTGAAATTATTATATTCATGCTATTATCAAAGAATAAAACTTGAAACAAAAAACAAAGACAATCTATATGGATTTTGTGGGCTCCTCATGTACTCTTACGGCTGTTCTGTATGTGCACTGCAACGCTGATATGTGCCCTGTGGGAAAAATATAGATTCTCTTATCTTAAGCCCTTTGACTTTGTGAATCCATAGTATTTTGGGCCTGACACGGGCACATTTGGCATGTTCTCAATAGGCTTATGAGAAGTATTAACAATTTAGTAGAATTAGTAGAAACAATATTTGATTTTGATAGTACAATAGTATTTTTAGAATAGTCAATACCTAGGACTCTTTGTACTAAATAAGTATTTCACAGTATTTGTAACAAATATTTTGGCATTTGTTTAAATGTCAGTGCCATTTATCATTTGTTGATGATAGTTGGAACCCACCATTCTGAAATCAGCCTCAAACTTGTATGCGCCGCCTCCCGTGGCACAGAGAGTGGTGTGCAAGCTGGAGAAGTGCTTGTCTCTTCCCATCTGGAGGAAGACGGGCAGGTCTTGGGTGGGGAAGCGAATGAAGTGCAGGTTCCCTGTTCGCCCACACAGCGTAAGGTCCTGCAGCTCCAGGTGGACGTCCCTGATGCCTGTGCTCCCGTAGGCAGTGTTGGAGGTGAGGTAGCGGCGGATGCTCTTCAGGTTCTCCACCTCCTCCTGCTCTTCCTCAGCTGTGATGTCCTTAGGCTCAAAGTAGACCAGCTTCACCAGAGTGCCTCCAATGTCCATCCCAAACCAAGGAAATGCTGTAATACAGATACATATGCAACACAAAGGGGAAAAAATCAACACACTTTGCTTAAATTGATAATTATTCTGATCATGTATGGCATTCCCAGTTTTTGTTGCCTGGGGAACAACATGGATGTGGGTCTCATAGCTGACAGCCTAGTACAGTGTGTACCGCGAACGCCATCTTGTTGCAAAAAAGGTCCAGGCCATTTACTGACATCACAGTGATATTACGCTGTAACAACCTTCAGAGAATAAACGATTCCAATACAATGTATGCATGCATATTTATAACACTGGATATGGGATCTCCTCCTCCATTTTGTTTCAGTAATCCTCATATATTTTGGCTGGCCTCTTTTGTGAGGCACGCCTTCCATTTGTGTAGCGCACAAAACGTAACATTGTTTAAAGCCCACAGCTCTGACACCTACGCGGTCTGCTTTTCTTCAGAGAGTCGGTCCGCAGCCTCGCAGTGGACCTGCTCCTCCGCTCGGATGTGGAGGGTCCAGCTGCGGCACATGCCTCATTGTGGGGGTCGCTCCTGCACAGACCACCGGGCATCTTCTCCTTCGAGGACCGCGGCAGCTTCTTGGGCGTTTCGTCTTCGTCGATAATGTCATCGTCACGGCAGTGGCCATTAAACGCCATTGAAATGACAAGAAGCTACATAAATGCTGCGCTTTGTTTACAAACAAAGGTGATTTATTGTGTAGACGAGCCGTGGCGCTAAAGGCTAATTAGCTAAACCTAAGTAGCTGTGTCTGTGGTGGAACGGCTTCATGTCGCCTTTATAGTGCTGTCAGCGTGGTGGGCGGGGCCAGTGTGATTGACGTGAGAAAGGACAAATCAGAGTATGCCGAGCACTGTTCTCAAAAACAATACTTGTACTGTTTGTGAAACAAACAAAGAAACAAGGACACATTCCCTTTCTATCTATTTATTGTGAAACGACTCCACATTTAATGGATTGTTAATGCAAAGCCCAAAACATTCTCAATGTATGTAAGAATTCACTAAAGCAGTTTTTCCTTATTGCAGTTTTTTCCTTTACACAGGATTCAGGATTAAAATCTCACATCAATATGCTTTCCATAATTATCACAGGTTTTACACATGTATACAACTTGGGATAACAAAATAGGAACATGTTTGAACATCTTTCTTAGAATATACATTTAGATCATCTTTTATACAAATAAATATACAGAAATAGTGTACAAATTCACTCCAAGGGCGCGTCTTTCTTTTATAAATTAGGTTTATCTTAACATTGGACAGAATAAGGAGGATATTCATCAAAGTGGAGATGCCTTGTGCAACTTGGCAGTGACCACCTTAACCGATGCATATTTTGGATTTGGATGAATATAAAAGGAAACCTCAACAACAGAACTGACAAAAGACCATATGGATGATTTCAGGTTATAAAGGCATTATGACAATAATTGTACACTTCATGCAAGCAATTTAATACTTTGGCCAAAACACTCCCTGTGACAAAAAAGATTTGGAGAAATGTGTTTTTGTTATTATTTAAAAAATTAGACGCAATTGTATTTAGGGGTCAATACACAATACACACTTTGGTGTAATTGTAGGTATGTAATTATCATGAATGATTTATTGACATGAAATCAATCAATCAAATAAACCATTTACTGGCTGTGAGGGGGAGTTGAATAAAGTGCTTATCAGCAAGACCATAAAAACATGACTATTAATATGAACAGTAAAATATCATTATATAATCAATTACAAATAATAGTGCTATATGAAAGTCTTTTCACGTTTCACTAATTCCCAGTCTAACAACAAACATACTACTTATAGCATATCACAATATCTGCAGATTCAGCTATTCCCATGGGTAATTATTAAGCAACTTCCTGACACCAAACCAGTCCAGTGATTACAATAAGGCACCAATAGCCTCCAGATCCTCTTTTGCGGCCTAATCTTTTTTTTTTTTAAAGGTATTACGTGCCCTGCTAATGCTTGAACCTCCATGCTATCAGCAGTGCACAGGTGCCCACTCCCGCTGCCGCCATAATATACCTGCTGTTCAGACTGCGTGTTGTCTTTGCAGAATCAGGCTCTTTTGGGTCAACTAGGGGGTCGCTTGGCTTTTGAAAATCACAAATAGAGGGGGTAGAATCAAGCTCTTTTGCTGGTTCACCGTTGACTTGAATGAGGGGTGTTTGAACATTGGGTTTGTCTGCTTCTTGCTCCACATTTACATTAGAGGTGATTTGACAAACTGGCGGCTGCACCAGATTTAAAATTGAGGGGTCTTCTGCCACGTGCCCGGTGTGTTCTCGAACGTCATCCATATCCAGACTTTGGGTAAGACTCTCAGAAATGTCCTCTACATTTGTGCAAGAAGTAGTTTCAGAAATGATAGTGGTTGCTGGTGAATTTATCACAATGGCTAGATCCTGAATGTCCTCCAGAAGTGCTGTTTCATTAACAACAGATTTCTCTACAACAGCAACATTTTTCTCTATATCCAGATTTGGAGAAATACACAGCTCGACATCAGTGCTTGATAGGTCAGAAATCAAAGTAGAGGCAGCTATCGGAAGGCCAATTGATTCTACATGTAGCGATGGTATTTCTTTGTTTAAAATGGAAGTATCTTCTGTTAGATGGCCAATATTTTCTTGAATATCACTTTCAAGAGACTCAGTAACCTCCTTTTGTTGTACTTTGAGATGAATGCCATTTTTCTGGCAAGGCACTACATCCGCACTCATTTCTAAGCGGCCACTGTCTCCAGAATACACAGAGACGGGATTGGGAGCGCGGATTGTTGTGTTGTTTGGATCTGGAGGTTCGACGCTGACAAGCACTCCAGGTTTACTAAAGCAGATATCGTCCTCTTCTGGCACACTGATTTGGTTAGAAGCACCATTCTCCACTTCACCATTAGGAGGAGCTTCTATTTCTTGGAGAATTTCATCAACCTAAAAGCAAATAAAAAAATAATATATATATGGATAAATCATTCATAGAGGAGTCTTGTGCTTTATGAGGCGATATTTTATTCAAAATAAATGTAAATCTAATACAGCATTAAGTTACTGTCTGAAGTTATAACACTGATTTGTTTTGTTTTGTGATTTTAAGATCTAAATACATTTTGCCAATTTCAACATTGTATTGGGGCGATGTGTCATTACATGTCAAGAATATTTCAAAACAATGAATTACTGATGCTTATTATTTACAGTTATACCTAATCAAAATGTATGCACTCTCTTACTAATTAGTTCTGATATAGGCAAATGTATCACGTTACCTGTGTGTCCTCAGGTTCAGATGTGTTCAGGACTGGGGCCTTTTCCTCTAGTGGGCTAGTCTCTTGGACTGGAGGTTTCTCAGGTGTTAGGATGAGATCATCAAGATTTGTCATCGGAGATGGACTTTGACCCAGTAATGCTTCCACAGCAGCAGGGGGAACTACCGGATTGTCCTCCACAGTGGAACTAAGTGCAGCTTCTTCAAAAGTGCTTGTTGTGTTTGTACGGTCTTCCACAGGAGCAGTGGCTGGTTCTGGTTCAGCAACAGTTGGCTCCTTCACAGGATCAATAATGGGTGTACTCTCATTTACAATTGAGGTAAGTGTAGGCTGTTCAGTCAATGTATCTGTCCGCAAAGAGGACTCATCTACTTCACATGGCTCAACATGAATCATAGGAGCTTGTGGTATCTCTGTATTTTCCTCTGCCTCTTGACACAAATGAACTGATTCTTGTGGGAAGTCTTCAGCTGGTTCTAGATCTTCCTCAGGTTCTTGATGGGAGACATAGTCCACTTGCTCTGGAGGGGGAGAGTCGTTCACTGAACGTTGCGCCAAATTGGGAGATGGAGGTGGTGTCACAGGAGGGACCACAGCTGCTTCTGTCTGGGGTTGAGGTGGTTCTGGCAAAGTGGTTTCCTAACAAGAGAAATGTGTATAATGTAAAACATAAGTCACGCCAGCTCATTGGCAGTGGTCCTATATTCATTACAATCAATGTGCGACATAGTGTGGAGACTGTAGTAATGTTGATTAAATTCTGACTAATAAATGTGACCCTAATTTATCACAGCGACAGGATTAGTTGTTTCAAGTAGCATGCTTTGATTATGTGTCTGATTGGTTCGCTCTGCTCAATGCCAGCAAGTGTCGAGGGCTTAACCAAGTATTATATAACATTTGAGTCTTTATGTATCAGCATCTTCATCATTTTTACTACTATACTAGTTTCACTAGTGATACATTACTTAATTGCCTACATTAAGCAAATATGCTTTTACATGTGACTTTGTTAGGTTCAAAGTTTGGTATATTTTGTTTGAGATGTTGGCTTAGTTTGGTCCTTTTATAGTCTTGATATATTTCATGATTTCATCACATTTATTAGGTGATGGGGTACCCAGCTTTTTTTGTATTTCCTCCTGAATTTTTTTAAAGGCAGAACATTGTAGACAAAAATGGCTCAGCTACAAATTGTCTACATAATTTATTTGAACTATTGTATACTGCCTGTCGGACAGGGCTGAGTGTTGATTGGCTGCTCCTCCTTGACCTGCACTGTTCCTGTTCTGAGGTAGTTATTATGCACATTCATAAATGTGTATAATGATGTTCCAAAGTGTTCCTGACAGATAGCAACTAGTAAGATCGATTGAAATATTGACAGTGCTTATACTTTAAATAAAACCTAAATTCATACTCAAACTCATACTAAGTACTTTCTATGATGTTGCATCTCCAGCGTTCACCTTAATCTTTCTGTGTAGCTATTGAACTTACCTCAGTCACAGTAGCTTCAGGAGCGCTCTGAGGTGCCGTTCCTTTGGTTTCCTGGATGGGCTGTGTCACTGGAGCCTCAGATTGGACGTCCACAGCAGGCGGAGGGCTGGCTTCAGGCTCAGGATCAGGCAGGTGTGAGGCAGATGGTGCTGGATGGATGTGTGCCGCGACAACTCTAGCGGCTGGAGGACTGGAATCTAGAACACAGTGAACAAAAGGTTATCTGTTAATCAATTTTTTGATGCTTAACCCTCTCCTCAACCTTAAATGAACAACCCCACTGAATCCATATTTTGTGCACTGAATATAATAATGATAATGTCATGAAGTCAGGTAAAGAAACAAATCTCGGGTGCTGCAGGTGAGGTCACGTTTTGTCCAAGAATACAGTGTAAAGTCCTCCACTTACAAAAATCAGGTCATATCTATGTTTTCTTCTTTGGCCCACTCAGGGAGTGAAAACCCTTTCCTCAGTGGCTCTGTGCTTTAAGTCCAGCAATTGGATCGTCTGGTTTGTTAGTTGGTGGTATGTAACCTGATGTTTGTGTGTGTGCATGTGCACGTGCAAAAGCATCAAGCGAGTATGGCCTTGAAGTTCTTATGAGAAAGACCGCAAAGGAAAGTTTTCAGGGACACTTCAAGACCTCCAGTCCATGACAACAAATAGCAATAACACAATGAGCACATACAATAAAAACCTTACATTTCTATATCTAATTGAAAACATGTTATATGCAATTGATTATCTATCGACCAGCAATGACATTTAGAGTATTACTATATTGGCTATTACTACTACATCATGATGATGAATAACTTGTAGGGCCATGTCATCCGCTATAACAATGTACTTTTTAAGTGGGCCAACAAGTATACTTTTTATTGTAACCAGCAGATTTAACATTAGAAAGTTTGTGGAAAGTGTTTTTTTGTGTGTGCTCAATTGCTATATACTTTTTTGTGATAAATGGGATAAGCTAAACTGAAAGGTATTTTACAATTAAATTATTGTATGTAGCTAAAACGACGTCAGCATTTACCAACAAGTGATATAACGTACAACAGGGAGGGTCTTTATACCATGAGGCCTTGCCAAACAAATCATTCAGTAAAAATAATATACTGAGAGTACAAGTCATCCAATATTGTTACTTGTCATAAATCCTGTCTAACACAAAGTTACATGATTGTGACTACCATCTTGTAACTAGCCTTTTAGTGATCTTCCATCTCTCATATCAGTCCTCCTTTTGTACTGTAGAGTGGTGGTTAATGGATTTAGGGGCTTACTGTTAATGCCTCTCAGTGCGTCGTATTCGGCCCTGATCTCAGCCGCTATTATCCGATGCTCACACGCCTCTAACGCAGCAATGAACTGCTCTGGCCAATTCTCCCTCCTCTTCAGACAGTCCAGCAGACGCACCATGGCATCAAAACTACCATAGGTCTCCCTTTTGGCTTCAATGGTCTCCTGAGAAAAATAAATACATACAAAGTGTTAAAATCTTCAAAATACACTCATTCGTACATTAGTATCTGAAAATGTGGCACTTACTCTGTCGTGGTCGGTCAAACATGGAAGATGGACCATGATTTCCCTCGGTCTGACTGTGGTCACAATCCTTGGCATGTTTGTGCGCAGGTAGCCATTGTAGAGTCGGTCGTTGGCGTATGACGACATCTTGAGAACGCAGAAAAACAATATGAATTTTGTTTTTAGTAGAACATAAAATATGTCCAGTTCTTTGAAGTTAAGTATTTGCCCTTCAACTAGTAAGATACAAAGGCACTTCTGTTGAAGGCATTCCTGATTCGATGTCCGCATAATTTCCTGTCCTTGTCGAGCGACCCCTGGCTTCACCAGCTTTAAAACTAATAACAGCTTACATATAAGTAGAGAATGCACTTACGTAATACAAGTATTCATTTTAATATTGCAATGCTTCAATTATATAAGTGCATTGTTTTATTGCTGAAGCATGCAAAAAATATGGAAGACTACTCAATTTAGTGTTGAATTCCTAAAGAACAGTTTTTAAATGAATAAAAGGATGAATGAATGAATACCCCAGCTGTATGCATTGAGCATCAATACACACAATTACAATACATGGACATATTATACATTTGTCTGTCAACATTCACTTAGAATTAGGGTGAATGTGAAAGTGAAAGAAACATAACAAAAAAATCACAGTTAGATTTCACACTATGAAAGTGAAAGTGAAACTACAGATTAAAAATACTGGTGTGTTTTAGTATTTTTCTAGAGAAGAACTAGAGTATAATTTAAATCAAGGAATCTCAATCCAGAATCTTGAAACATTGAAATAATTGTGCCACACACTGTGCAGCTGCAAACATGTCTTTGGAACATAAAAAAGGAACATTTGAAGGTTGTGGAGTAGTCACTGATTAATCCTTTTGCAGTTTATCATCATAGGGCAAAACAGAAGTCATCTTGCTTTGTTGATAAGATCTAATGACAGAAACATATTATCTGTAGTGAACACAACCTAAACCTTTCCACTGTTGACACACAAACACTAGAAGAGTAATCTGTTGTCATTTGCAGTGGAGGGAAGCGATTTCACAAGATATTCCAGACGACGGGCGGTGAAAGTCGAGCGTAAAGGTAGGAGAGTGGAGACGCACAGAAGTTAGTGACGAAAGGAGCAAAGTCTCATGTTAGCACTCATTGCATTATTTCTCAGGTGGATACAGAGCTGCACAGAGTGCACACCGTGATCCATCAATATAAAACAACAACTTTAAAAAACAACTAAACTTGCGAGCAATATGTACTGTTGATGATAGGCATATAAATATTTCTATAATGATCTAACACATAATTAAATTAAGGAATGTCTTCCAGAATGATAAGAATTTGAAACTGTATTATTGTCCAAAATGCAAACTAGGATGGAAAGTCACATTGTTTTTTGTTGATCTTGCTGTATGCAACATTTTGAGGATATGTCAGTTCAAAACATATAGATTTTACTTTTAAATTCTGATCTGGCAAGCCCATAGCACAAATTTCTCATAATTCTGCAACCTATGAATAGTTTCTGATTATGTTCTTTGAGGCATTCTAATTAGGGACTAATATAACCTAACCAAATGAAGAAATAGCACTAAAGGTTAAGCCTATAGGTAAAACATAGACCGTGGAAGGAGGACTATATACATTCTATTAGTTTGAAAAGTGATACAAATAAGATAACATAGTCTTTGTTATGAAATAACGAATTAGCTTTATAGAGTCTATAGTCCACATGTCAATCACTATTATCCAAACATGATTACTGTAATTGTCGTGTGATCAAATAATTATGAATAAACAATACCATCAAAGAAAAGGGGGCGTGTAAAAGCACCTTGACTAAGCTAAATGAATGACCTCTAAAATGTCACACGCTTTTCACAGATCAGCTGGCCATTTCCCCATGAATATTTCAAACATTTTCATACACTGTCAAATAAAACTGGTTTTACAACAAAGTTCAACCACAAACTTGCACAAAATATGGCAAAGTGGAACGAGGAAATGGTCTCACGTCAAGTTTGACTGCAGCACTAACGATCATATTATTACTATTATTACTATTATATTGAAATTCTATATAAATACTACTACTACCCTATGTGCTAGAAAGTCAAATAACAAAAACGCGTATATGTATTTTAGCTTGCAACTACTTTGAATAACTACGACACGCTGCACTGGCGCATCTCAAGTTACCACAGCTATTACACGCTTATAATAAAAAACTGTAAAACTGCCACAAAAAGAACGAGACATTTTGCGGTAAAAGTGTGCAATCCACTGCTCACCTTTCGTATTTAGAGCTCCGGTTGTCCTCTGCGATCCCGTGCTATCCTTGCCCTCTTTAAAAACCGGTCCTCATGTCACACATCTGCCCACAGCCACAGCCCAGCTTGGGGAGGAATCCTGATTGGATAAAAGTGCTGTCTGTCAAACCTTAAACAAATCCTAACAAGTTGGAGGGGGCGGGACATGCTAATCTTGACCCCAAAGCGTCACGTTTGCTCCGGTGGACGGACAGATCGGATCTTTTGGTTTGCATCTGTCTCTAATCCCTTTTGCTAATCCCTGCACATGGACACAGCGGACATGGGATAGATAACAACATGATGACGGTACATACCTTCACATACGGAGGCATACATGGACTTAGCTAGCGTTAGCGCTATTGCAACATTCCACAGTCCAGGGCTGCTTCCGTCACTGCAATTTATTTTGAAAAGCCAGACGGAAACCTATTTTTATGCAACATTGACAACAGAAGGGATGGAATGAAACATGTGGCCTCATGTTAAACACTTTGCAAGCTTTGAAATTGCGCAAGACGCAGCTAAACCAAGTTGTAAGTCTGTCACGTTCTTTAACCTGCGGCGCTTCCTCATTATGACGCTAGATGGCGGTGTTGTTCCTTTTGTTTTTTTTTCCCGACACGGCCATATGATGTAGAAGTAGGAAAGAGGAAAGGACATTAAAAGGCACATAGGAGGATTGTCTACTTCTGGGTGGATCATCAAGACTATTGTTCCTTCCAATTGTCAATCATTCTGGTGATACGTGCTCGGCAAATAAGACCAGAGTTTTGTTCAAAAAGTGGAGAGGGCGATTCTTTCCTAACATTTGGGAAAATCCTCCTATTTACCTTAAATTATTAGAGGCATTTCATTCAACTACTCCTCCAACTCATTTTTTGCACAGCCTTTGCCTTAAATTCCATAACCAAAGAATATGAGATGTAATCTATGGTTGTGATAGAAGACATACCAGTTAGTCATGGCTGTCATAAGGCTTTTTTGCATTGAGGTGCCCTTTTTAGATCTGTGACTATTTCAGGTGCGTTTACATGCAACAAGTGCCAAACTTAACAGACTTTTTTTATCTCCTCTTTTTAGTACTTTCCAGTCAGATCAGTAAAAAGAAATTCTTTGGTGACATACCCAAACTAAATCTCATTAAATTATTTATTGTCTAATTACACATCTAGTTTGATGTTACTCTGTTAATGCAACCATAGGGGTTCCTCTGATTTATAGGAATTGGGGGATTATAGGGACTAGTTCCGGATACTGGCATGTGCGAGAATGCCTAATGATCCAATAAATTATAGATAGTCTGCTATATTTATGTGTCAAGTTTAAACTGTAAATGTACATTTAAGAATTGAAGTGAGATGCTCTTGTTTTATTTTTACTTATTCAGCTGTATTTAATAGTTAATTTATCTATCCATTATAGTACGTCACTGATTTTGGGTTTGCCACATGCTTGCCTTCGAGGAAATGTTATTGCTTTGACTTTCTCAGAATTATTACTGCGCAACAGGGTGGTGGAGCGATTAGCACTATCGCCTCACATTACGAAGCCCCTGAATTTGACTTTTTTAAGTATTGATGTTCTTACCATGTCTGCAGAGATTATTCATCTTTATTTCAGACTCAAGATAAATTGATCCATACAAATTGCCTCTGGCTGTTTCCGTTTCCGTTACAGCTACCAGGACAGGCCTAAAAACTAACTTCTGAAATCCCATCAGTATTTTCATGACAAAATTGATATAAATAAGGACTATGTTAAAATGTGTGAGCAGTCTAGGTTTGTCTTTCTCCACATCGGACGTGCACTTTTGCCTTGTTGTGCCAGTTTACTGCCATAGTATCATGCATTCCTGCAACAAATAATAAATGGTTGTTCAAAGATTCATCTAGGTCAGGAGGACATTTTAAAAGAACCCACAATTGTACAAATAAAGTACAACCTTTTATTACAATGCTCATTTAAGAGCAATTTTTAATGTGGTTTTTCTCATTTTGTTGTGTACATGTCTTTTCAATTGCCACTTCCTATTGAACTACATAAAACATTCATTATTTGCTTTTTTGCAGGTTGGGAGTCTGCCCTTTCACCAACAGGAGTCATTTATCCCTTTGCGTGTGGCCTGATTTAAATCAACTTAACAGTGCTGATGAGGATAATGATCTTTCCTACAGCTCCACTGGTGATGTATGCAGTCAAGGACCTCTTGAAACCTGGAAACTGAGGATCCTATAGGATCAAGTTGATTTGAAAAAGCATTTGGTTTGTCAAGATGAAACACTGAAAGGCTTAAATGCTACATCGTGCCGATGTTTACAGCAGCAGTAACAACAACTGGCAAACTTCAAACAGGATTTCCTATGATCTCCTTTCAATAATGGCTTTCTTCTTGCCAGTCGTCCATAAAAGCCAGATTTTTAGTACTTTGCAGCTCTTCCAGTCATCTCGGGGCACTTGGTTGTCTTTCTGACCAGTGCTCTCCTTGTTAAATCTATTAGTTTAGGTGGACAGCCGTGTCTTAGTAAGTTCACAGTGGAGCCACACACTTTCCATTTAATAATGGATTGAAAACTACTCTGTGAAATGCTGAAATCTTTTAAAATCTTGGCATAACTTGCCAAGACACTATTCTAAACTTCAATGTCTGATGAAGGGTAGTGACCCTAAACGTCACATCGTGTGGTGAGAATTAAAGTCTCTTGGGAGCAAAAGCTGTGCAGTCATCTCAATTTTTTCATTGATTCATTTTCAACCTTTTTTGCACGCTACTTTGAATTGGATGTGCGCGTCAATCTCACTCTTACTATTTTAAACTTCTCCACA